AACAGGTATAGATGACATTACTTCTCTACCATGGCTTGATATTAAACCATCACAATGTACATTTTGTGATGGTTTTTTGGTGTAATTTGTGCATTAAATTTTAATCTGTAATCTGTTGTGATGTATAATAAAACTAACGTTTTCAACTATCTTATTTGCTTGAGGAGGTACATGGTTTGTATACACACTTTTTCAGCCGGAATGAATTTATTTTGCAGTAGTTTGAACTTTCTGCACATTCTGAAGGACTTTGGTTTTCATAAATTAGGGCCCCACCTAGTGGCGGGTCGCCCTATAGTGATCAGTCTGTCCGTCCGTCCATAACAAATTGTGTCCGCTCTATATCTAGAGAACCGTTATAATTTCATACTTTATACTTGACATGTATATATTAACCAACACCAGAGGGTGTGTTGTAATGTTTGTACAACTTCCTAGGTCAAAAACTTTAGTTTCAGTTGACAACCCCATGTCCTATGGTAAAGATCGTGTCCGCTCTATATCTTGAGAACCGTTATGATTTCAAAGTTTATACTTGACATGTTAATTAACCAACACCAGAGGGTGTGTCATAATGTATGTACAACTTCCTAGGTCAAAGGTCAAGGTCAAAAACTGATCAGTTTAATTAAATTGCCAAATATAACACTACCTAAAAACATAGAATAAAATCACTCTCAGCACACAAGGGAGCTACCATTTGATTTTTATTGGGGGGGCTAGGATGAAATTTAAAAAAAAAGCAGGACAGTAGTTTTGAGTAAAAAAAAAGGCAGGATGAACAACTTGGCAAAAAAAAAAAGGCAGGATGACAATTTATGTAAAAAAAGTCAGGATAAACTAATAAAAAAACATGTACAGACAGGACCGAATAGTGAAAAATGAAAAGGCAGGACAGAGATTACAACTAAAAAAAAAGGCAGGACAAAATTTTTAATTTCTATAACCTATTCACATAAGTTCTGGTAGTTAAACTTAGTCTATTATATTATATGGCAAACTCCTCTAATAGTTTTTCAGCTAGAAAGTTGGATTTTAATTGTAGTTCATTATCAAAAAGAATTAATGGTAAGTTGTAGTGAGTCAGTTTTGATCATATTTTCAGGATTATCATGATTATGGGAAAAAGGGGTCAGATGAAAGTCACCAAGATTCTTCACCTACATAACCTACATCAAATTACAAAAAAAGTACCATAGTGAAGGAACAGTGCTTTTTTTGCCATTCATCTCAAATTGACAGTGTAGCTTTTAACATAGAGTAAATCACTTCCTGCTATTTCAAGACAGTCCCTGTCCCTTAGCTGAAGTTATGACCAGATTATTTGCTAGACATGCTAGACGTCAACAATTCCATATCTGTGAATTGAAGAACACATCAAGAAATATCACCTACTGTGGATTCATTTTTTTTCGTGTGTACTAATTTTCGTGGATTGAGGAAAATATGCATTTAGTGGATATTTGATTTTGTGGGTTTGTCAAAGTCTGCATACAACGTTAACCTTATAGAAAAAATTATAATTCTTTGAATATTTAAATTCCTGGTTCACCAGTACCTTCGCAATTTCAGAAAATTGGTATCCAATGAATAATAATGAATCCACAGTATTGGAGACAAGGAAGATATGAAGCAGACCTAACCGTTTCTTGTTATTTTAAATTGTTTTGAAAAATGAGATCAACATATTTGCTAACTTTCAGTTACATTGTAGTCACTAAGAGGGCACCATCTTTATAGCATAATGTGAAGTTGATGGACAACACTAGCTCTTTGTTCTTTTTGGGGTCTTCCCTGTCTGAGGTCTGCCTCGTAAAAACAAAGGAACAAGTCAATGAAATGATGAGCACAGTTGTTTACCCATAGAAATTAATGTTTTAAATATTTTTTGGAAAGCAGAACCACCAAACATAATAATATCAAGCTAATGCTCAACTCAGTTTCAGAGAATTTGCTTATAGAACTAAAGTGATTCCCTTCATAAAACTTAAAACTTTTCAGTTATTTGGGTACTCAGTAAAGGAGGATCCAATTTATCGCCATTGATTGAAATTTAATAAAAATTGACATCATAAGTTATATTCTACAAAACTACTGGTAAGTCTTATAAAAGTAAGTATAAGATTACCTCTAGCAGAACACCCTTAATTAAAATTATGTCACTTTGACTAACATTTAAAAAAAAAGTTATTTTATGGATCTTCAATACATGATCTTCCAACTGGTGCTTTTTCCTGGAAAACTTGACATACCAAAGCAAATATCTTCATGCCACAACGTCTTATGACATGTTTGCCCAGAATGACACCAGGTCAACTGGGTAGTTCATTCATAAAATTGAAATTAGAAACTCTCCTATACAAGTACAATTTCTACAATCCATTTTTGGATTTCATTGTCAGAACTTTGTTGTAATTAAACAACTTGCTATTGAGTTGCTGTGTCAGTAATGCATTAAGTACACATATCTTATTCAGGAAAACAACTTAACATTTTCCATCTAGGGGCCAGACCTTTCACAATAAGAAAGATTAACATAAGGACATTTTCACCTAAAATAAGGTGTCCAGCCCAATATTTAGTAGGTTGGGTTAGATTATATGCTTAAGCTTATTTTTACCCATGCTTATTGACTAGGTTGTACAAAGTGCACAAATTCCAGACGGTAAAACTTAATTTACTTTTCATTAACATTCCTGATCAAGGTTCTCATTTATGTGTTATCAACTTTAGTTTAAAACAAAAATATATGTGCATACAAATTTAACAACAATTTCTGTATTTAAAATTAGGATGTACATCTCACTTTATGCATATATTTGTAAATTTTTTGTCGATTTTCTTATTAATAATAAAATGATAATTTTGGCTGCTTATAAAAATAAGGGAATGTGTTGTAATTGCTAATGAGACATATCCACCAGTGTTCAAATGACATGGATGTAATCAACTATGGGTAACTGTACAGCTTTCAACAATTAGCAAAATTAACCTATACTGTAAAGTCCACTATAAAAGACTACTACATGACAACATGTTATTGCAAAAGAAATAAATGTGGATAGTGTCCACATGTGGACACAGATGATGCCCCCGCTTGCATATCATATAGTTATAAAGGGACATAACTGAAGAACGGTAAAAGTGACGCTACCCAAATTTGAACTTGATCTGAGTTTTGTGGTAATAAGCATTGTGTGTAAGTCTCATAACATTTGGTTGAGGCTAACTTAAGTAGAGAACAGAAACTAAAAATTCAGCAATTTTTCTATTTGTAAACATGCATAACTCTAGAACGGTTGTGTATAAGTTTTACAACATTTGGTTGAGACAAACTAAAAAATTCAGCAATTTTTCTGTTTATAAAGGGACATAACTCTAGAATGGTAAAAGTGTTGCCACCTAATTTCGTACTTAATCTGTATTATGTAGTAATAAGCATTGTGTATAAGTTTCATAACATTTGGTTGAGGCAAACTCAAGTTAGAGAACTGAAACAAAAAAATTGTACTTGATCCTTACCGAGTTTTGTGGTAATGAATATTGTGTATAGGTTTCATAATGTTTGGCTGGGGAAAACTTCAGTTACAGAATGGAAACTAAAAAATTTTGCAATCTTTCTATTTATAAAGGGGCATAACTCAATAATGGTTAAAGTGACACTACCCAAATTCTACTTGATCTGTGTTTTGTGGTAATAAGCATTGTGTATAAGTTTCATAACATTTGGTTGAAGCAAACTCAAGTTAGAGAACGGAAACCAATTTCGGGACGGACGGACATACGTACGTACAGACGGACAAGGGTAAAACTTAATGCCCCCTCCTCTACGGCGGGGGCATAACAAAAGTTTTCCACAATCATTTGCAGTTTACCTGTTGATTTAAATTTTTGTAAGTTCACTGGTTCAATGAATAAATACAATAGCTATTGTTCTCTGTGGAGTTTATTCACTGGGACCTTTAAATTTCTTGTAAGTGAAATTGATTAATTTACCAGAAGAAAAAAATATCTTCCAAGTAGTTGAACATATATGTATCAACTCACAAAATGCGTGTTATTTTGTATCTATTCAATATCAATAATATATTTTCAATTTCAAGTACTTACAGTTACTGAATGCTAGTTCAAAGCCAATTACAACTAATAAATAAAAGAACAGAGGTGTAATTTCCCTCACTGATGTACATATATCTTTCAAAAGGCAAAAATTCTAACAAAAACATGTGGTAAGGATACCCACTTTGGTAGTCTTAGTATCTGACAGATTTGTAAAGCATTCATACCTTACAATTTATCACTTCCAAGCTATTGACCAAATCAGAAATTATGCTATTCTGTGGGACCTGAGAAGTGTGATAGAAATATTTGTTGGATGAACTGACAGACTTTCAAGATGAATTCATATAGCCTCCATTCCTCGAGTGTGAATATAATAATTTTTTGGAGGTTCTTTTAGACTTTACCTGAAATGTTGGTGAGAGATTGCTTACAATGCAATTATTCATACAGTTTCTATATCAAGGGCCATAAGGGGCATAACTCCTTACAAACAGTTTATAGGCACCAATTATATTCTCAGCCAAGGCATTGCAATTATAAAACTTTGATATAAATTTCATAAACCTGAGAAGAAATGAAGGCTTGAGAGTGCTTACAATGAAGATCTCCATTGAATTTACATTTTCTAAAGGGCATAATTGATTGGCACTGATTTTCCTACAGGTCAGAGACATTGTTGATATAAACCTTTGAAATAAATTTAAATGTAAAAATTTGAATCAATCAACTGGTGGGTATGTGATTGCTTTTTTGTGAGTAAAAATGTACAGTATGGAATATTAAATGCTACAAGTCATTGAAATATGAAATACAGGTCAGTGTATTTATCTTTATTTCAATGCTGGCTTATTCTTCTAGGAATACCAGTTATTTGTTGTTTTTTTTTTTACTAACACCATGTCACCATAAGGAAAAGACAAAACAATAAAATTCTAAAAAGCACTTCAAATTGATTTAATAAAAAAAATAATCCTGAGTTTCATTCTGGTAATTCATTCTTTCTTGTCCCCATCATCTTCTGAATTCCCATCAGCTGTTTTCACTTTATTTTCACGAGGTACATATACTGAGTTTATGTAGCCTTTATCTACATTAGATTTGGACTCCTTAATGTAACCTACTGAGTCCAGTCCTTCTGTTATCTCTTTGTGGACCGATCCTAGTAGTCCCTTATTTTGCTGCAAGAAGAAACAAAAACTATAATTTTCACGATTATCTCAACCATAACTTTATCATTCTTTTCACTGCTTCATTTTGGTAATATAACCTGTTCAAATATGTTCCATGTAATCAGACAAATTAGAACAGTAAGCCTTGTAAATTTTTCTTTCAAAAGGGCATACATAAAGGTATTGTAACACCAGTCTTGTCTATTGTAGAAGAAGTTATATGTTGACCTCTAGACATCCTTTGTTTATCTGAGTTGCTGTCTCAGTAATAGATAATATATACCCAACATCTCTTTTTTTCGTATTTTCAGAAAAGGACTTTTGTCTAATTCAACATCTTTTAAATGGGAAATGTGTCCATGGGACACAGATGATGCCCTCACTTGCATATCATATAAAGTTATAAAGGGACATAACTAAAGAACGGTAAAAGTGATGCTACCCAAATTTGTACTTGATCTGAGTTTTGTGGTAATAAGTTTTGTGTATAAGTTTCATAAAATTTGGTAGAGGCAAACTTAAGTTAGAGAACGGAAATGAAAAATTCAACAATTTTGACATTTGTAAAGGGGCATAACTCTAGAACTGTTAAAGTGACACCACCAAAATTCAAACTTGATCTGTATTTTGTGGTAATAATATTATTGTGTATATATAAGTTTCATAGCATTAGGTTGAGGCAAACTAAAGTTAGAGAACGGAAATGAAAAATTAGGCAATTTTTTCCATTTGTAAAGGGGCATAACTCTAGAACCGTTGAAGTGACACCACCAAAATTCAATCTTGATCGGTATTTTGTGGTAATAAACATTGTGTATAAGTTTCATAGCATTTGGTTGAGGCAAACTAAAGTTAGAGAACGGAAAAGAAAAATTCAGTAATTTTTCCATTGTAAAGGGGCATGACTCTAGAACTGTTAAAGTGACACCACCAAAATTCAATCTTGATCGGTATTTTGTGGTGATAAACATTGTGTATAAGTTTCATAGCATTTGGTTGAGGCAAACTAAAGTTAGAGAACGGAAATGAAAAATTAGACAATTTTTTCCATTTGTAAAGGGGCATAACTCTAGAACCGTTGAAGTGACACCACCAAAATTCAAACTTGATCTATGTTATGTGGTAATCAGCATTGTGTATAAGTTTCATGACATTTGGTTGAGGCAAATTAAAGTTCGAAAATTAAACCAACTATGGCACGTACGTACGTACAGACGGACAAGGGTAAAACTTAATGCCTCGTCCGCTACGGCAGGGGGCATAAAAGTTGTCAAGACTTCTTCAAAGGGGAGATAATTTTTGATAACACAAATCTTCCATGGTTTTCAACTGGTTTTTCTGAAAGACACATCCTGTTAATAAAATGGTGAAGTATGCCTGTTAATAAAATGGTGAAGTATGAAGGGCGGCTGCCAACAGTTTCTGTGCAATAACTAAAGATGCGTTCAACCAATGCTTCTCAAATTTTAATATGTTGTTACTGATGATGAAATGGAGGTCAAGTTCAACATTTCACCAAACCTTAAACTTATTGCTGACAGATGAACCATGAAAATGAGGTTAAGGTCAAGTAACCCTTACAGTCATAGACATGTACACCATACAATCATCCTATACACCCAGTATATTTGACTTTTAACTCATATAATCTGAGAAAATTACATTATCACTAAAACTTAACATAGTTCAATGTACTATGAAAATGAGGTCAAGCCGTCAAGGTAGTGGTGAACCCTTACAAAACAGATATGTATGCCTTTACACTCATTCTATATAAATATACACTCATTTTTACTGATTACACTGATTAGGCTATTACAGTTATCTCCCATGTTAATTATTTTAAAGAAAATTATTAAAGAAAACACAGGTTATCTCCCTTATTACATATCAATGAAAATAAAGTTCATACTAAGTAAGTTATTAATGTTATATGTCCTGTTTTAATGACTGGTTCATACCATACATCTTTTTACCCCCACATAGGCATTTTACACAAATATCTATGTTATTACTTCTTATTTTAAATTGTAATTATGATCTCAAACACATATAAATCAGAAAAATATGTCAATACAGAATTAACATTTCTAGACAATTCTTCTCTGCACTTCTCTATTTTAGAACATTTAATGAAGAAAAAAAATCATCTTCAACATCTAATTTACAAATCCTCTTCTCTACTGATAATTTATGATACCACAACCTTTTTAATTACCTAAGTTATGCTTAGCCATATTTTCTTACAAATTGTTATACTGTTTTATTCAGCTGAATATTACAATAAGTCATCAACTCATTATCTCCGGATTTTTTGTCCTCATTATTTTAAAGTAAATACTTATATATTTTTTATGTATTTCTTCTAGTTTGTTCACAATAGATAAAATTGATTTTGGTTTTGAGAATGTGCATTGATTTTACAAAACATATGTCCAAATCCAATAAAATTTTTAAATCTTTTACTTTGTCAAACATACTATTTATGCTATTTGAAGTATCTCTAAACAAAAAATGATATCAAATTTTCATGATTTGCTTTTAAGAAATACAACCAGTAGCTCATACTTGACTTGAATGCAGTTAAAGAAAGAGGTTGAAGACCCAATTCACATAGTACAGCAATATTGTTAGTGGCTGACTTATGCACACCTAAAATGTAATTTGCTAATTTAAGCTTCAATTTGTTTGGTATAAAACAATAGCAACTGATTCAAATTAGAACTGTGTTTTTTTCCAATTAGGACATAGCCCAAAATTCATTACAATACAACAAAATGGGTTTTACACAGGCATCAAATAAGTTACACTTCAAAATCAGATTACTTAAAACTATCTGAGAAATGGACCTTATCTCCAAAACTTAACTTTGTTCAATGAACCATGAAAATGATGTCAAGATCAGATGAACCCTGTAAGATGAACATGTCCTTTTTGGGGCCCTTTATAGCTTGCTGTTCGGTGAGAGCCAAGACTCCGTGTTGAAGGCCTTACTTTGACCTATAATTGTTTACTTTTACACATTGTGACTTGGATGGACAGTTGTCTCATTGGCACTCATACCACATCTTCTTATTTATATGTACTTATTACAATCATTCAATCCAAATATAGTTGACTAATTACTTATAATACATGTAGTACCTGAGAAACGGACCTATTCACTAAAACTTAATTAACATTGATAACTGAACCCTGTCTGATGGATAAGAGTATCCTACAATGTTTACCAAATACAGTTGTCCTGTTACTCATAACTGAGAAAGCATGTGATAAACAGCTATACGGTCTTGGTCAATAAACCTAACGAGTTCAAGGACAACAGAAATATGGCAGACAGATACCTCAGACAATAAGGCATCTGTATACCAGATATGAACTAGCTAGTCCTTTTTCCTTTCTGAAATATGAAGCTTTAAATAGAGTTTGTAAATGTCGCTGCCTCTGCTGGATTAGCATTCATAAGATATGCATATTCAGCTACATACACTGCAGGTGAGACAAAAATTGTATTATCAGACCTAAGATTTGATATCTTCCCCAAATACAATGCCACAAATCACTTTTAATCCTGACTTGCTTACATTCATTCATTTGAACTTTGATGGAAAGTTGTCTCATTGGCAATCATACCACATCTCCTTATCTTTATATATATGCATTTGCTCTTGAAAAAGGTTCCCAACAAACATGACAAAAGGATATGAATACAAAATATATATTTTTTTTAAATTTTCTACAAGTGTTGCATCAGATAAAGTAATAACAACTCACTTCATTTTTGGCAGTCAATAGGACAGTATTGACTCGTCTTCCTTTTGCAAGTATTTTAACCATTTGATTGATTTTAATCTGGAGATCGTGACTGGCAATTTTTGTTTCAATGTCAAAGCGTTTTGGACTCTTTTCCTTTGGTGTCTTCTTCTGTTCTTCCTTCTGTTCTTCTCTTGTCACAAGTTTATATGACGGGAATCCTTCTGTAAATTTCCCCTCTAACTTAGCTAATTTGAATCCTTTACTATTGGCATATTCCTTAGCCCCTGCTAGCGTATGCTTTCCAATCAACAGATCTTCATTAGAAAACAACTGGATTGTGTCAATCAATTTCACCAACTTTATACGCTTCACATTGTTAGCTTCATCAGTTGGTTGTCCCTTATTTTTGTTATCCTTTTCATGACTTTTTACAGTTTTAAAGAACTTTTTATTTAGATTTTGACCACATTGATGAAAATATTGTTTATCTTCAATTCTGCCACATTTCTTCACATGACAACTTTCAAAGAGATTGCTACTGAAATTACCATATGTAACACATGTGTATGTACTTGATGTATGTGTTGAGCAATGAATCTTTGAATATCTGGCTAAGTTTGTAACATGATTGTAATGGTTTATTGGTGATAATGAAAGAAGTCTGATTCTGCAGAAAGTCATCACAGCTATTGGTGATTTAACAAGTTTCATGTTGCTATCTTTCCCTGTCTACAGTGTCACCATGGATATGGCATTCTATCCTGTATAAAAGAACAAAATATTTCAATATTTTATATACACTGTTATAAATATGAAAATATGGATAGTAAAAAGCATTACATTTATACAATAAAAATTAGGAATAAACAAGCATTCTGTGAGTATTGCCTGGCAATACATAGTCCCCTACCGGTTAAAAATTCATTGTACTGGAACAAAATGCTAACTTGATTTATAACTTGTCATGGTGTAAACTATATAACAAATATCAAGTCAATATCTATAAGCATGACGAAAAAAAATGTGGAAAATTGATTATTTGAGTGAATTTTCTAAGTCCAAGGACCATAACTCTGCACAAAATCATCAGTACGGAACAAAATTCAAACATGATTTGTAACTTGTCATGATTAAATCTATATACCAATTATCAAATCAATATCTTCAAGCATGACGGAAAACTGATTTGCCGGACTGACGGATGGACAGACAGACAGACAGACGGACGGAGTGCAAACCTATAGTCCCCTTTGACTTCGTTGGTATGGGACTAAAAACAACTGATACGACCAGATGGAAGAGACCTGACTAAAAGGTAGGTAGAAACTAAAGTCTATCTTTGAGAAATTTTAATAATTTTCATGAAAGAGTTAAATTAAAAAAATGCAGATAAAATAATTTATTGAAAAAAAAAGAATATCATATCATGTCCTTACTTTGATATCCTGTATTATACAGGAAAATAATTTGTTTGGTTCATAAAACCAAAATATCAAAAAAATTGAATATCTGTAGATGCTGGTTTGTTGTCTGATTAATATAAAAATAAGAAGATGTGGTATGATTGCCAATGAGACAACTCTCCACAAGAGACCAAATGACACAGAAATTAACAGCTATAGGTCACCGTACGGCCTTTAACAATGAGCTACCGCATAGTCAGCTATAAAAGGCCCCGTCTATTCATATCTTAATGGAGATGATTATTTTGATCAAACAAATACAGGATAGAATAAATGCTCCGCAGGGCGCAGCTTGATACGACCGCAGAGGTCGAACCCTGAACAGTTGGGGCAAGTATGGACACAACATGCAAGCTTGATACAGCTTTGCATTTGGATTGTGATTAAATATTTGACACAGCATAGGTTTCTGACACAGAATGAATGTGGTCTAAGAACTTAAAATTTTAAATTGGACATTCACCTATTATGGTCCAATATCCAAAATCTAAATACATGGTTAGATTCAGCATATCAAAGTACCCCATATATTCAATTTTTGTTGAAATCAAACAAAGTTTAATTTTGGATCCGATTTGGACCAACTTGAAAACTGGGCCCATAATCAAAAATCTAAATACATGTTTAGATTCAGCATATCAAAGAACCCTAAGAATTCAATTTTTGTTAAAATCAAACTAAGTTTAATTTTGGACCCTTTGGACCTAAATGTAGACCAATTTGAAAACGGAACCAAAAATTAAGAATCTAAATACACGGTTAGATTCGGCATATCAAAGAACCCCAATAATTCAATTTTTAATGAAATCAAACAAAGTTTAATTTTGGACCCTTTGGACCTCAATGTGGACCAATTTAAAAACTGGGCCCAAAATCCAAAAACTAAATACACGGTTAGATTCAGCATATTAAAGAACCCCAAGAATTCAAGAATAAAACCCCATTGAAATTGGTCAAGAAATAAGCAATTTATACGAAGTATCTTCTTTTGCACAATACTGTGCAATTAAATATTTCTTGCTATTGCACAATACTGTACAATTGACAATTTCTTGCTATTGTGCAATATTGTGCTATTGGATATTTCTTGCTATTGCGCAATACTGTGCAATTGAAGATTTCTTGCTATTGCGCAATACTGTGCAATTGAAGATTTCTTGCTATTGTGCAATACTGTGCAATTGAAAATTTCTTGCTATTGCACAATACTTATTATATAATAATTTACACATCCTGTTTGGTGTCTATCTCCTACCATATCATAATAATTAGAAATAACCAACTTAAAATGGAAAATTTTAAAAGAAAAAAAAAAGGAAAAAAAGAAAAAAAGGAAACCCCCCCCCCCCCCCCCCCCAAATTTTTTGAACCCCCTTATGATACATCACCCCCAAACTCAATCCCAGCCTTCCCTTTGTGGTATGGTACCTTGCAGTACAATTTCAGAGAGATCCATACACTTGAAACACAAGTTATTGTCTTGAAACTAGAAAAATGTGTTTTTTGGCCCCAAATTCCTAAACGTTTAGGGCAATTACCCCCAAACTCAAACCCAGCTTTCCCTTTGTGATATGGAACCTTGTAATACAATTTCAGAAAGATCCATACACTTACACACGTTATTGTCCTGAAACTAGAAAAATGCTTGTTTTTTGCCCCTTTTTGGCCCCTAATTCCTAAAATATTGAGGCAATTACCCCCATCATCAATCCCAGCCTTCCCTTTGAGGTATGGTACCTTGCAGTACAATTTCAGAGAGATCCATACACTTGAACACAAGTTATTGTCTGGAAACTAGAAAAATGCTTATTTTTGGCCCCCAATTCCTAAACGTTTCGGCAATTACCCCCAAACTCAATTCCAGCTTTCCCTTTGTGATATGGAACCTTGTAGCACAATTTCAGAAAGATCCATACACTTACACACAAGTTATTGTCATGAAACTAGAAAAATGCTTGTTTTTTGCCCCTTTTTTGGCCCCTAATTCCTAAAATTTTGAGGCAATTACCCCCAAAATCAATCCCAGCATTCCTTTTGTGATATGGAACCTTTTGGTACAATGTCAGAGAGATCCATACACTAACACACAAGTTATGTCTGGAAGTTACAAAAATGCTTATTTTTGGCCCCTAATTTCTTAACTGTTGGTACCATTACCCCCAAAATCAATCCCAACCTTCCTTTTATGGTATTGAACCTTGTGGTAAAATTTCATAGAGATCCATTCACTTAAACTAAAGTTAGAGTGCGAAAACCAATGTGTCTTCGAACTACGACGGACGACGACGATGACAACGACTACGCCAATGTCATACCAATATACGACCACAAAATTTTTTTTGCGGTCGTATAAAACGTAGATTCAAGATAGAGATCATGTAGATATCAATCCTTATTTTTTATTTTCTAGTGGGTACAATTGCAGTAATATTTAGCAAAATATGACCTTGTCAAAATATTATGATTTTGTGCATTTTTTTAAATTAAAGCTTCATGATACCCTTGGCTGCAACCTAGGATCAATAATGGCCTGTAACTTAAAGCTGCCTAAGTCTATATTGAAAACAACTATAGACACAGAAATTTTCTGGATCTGCGGATGCGGCTAAGATAAATTATGCTAACCAAATGAAATTGCTCTTGACTAGTAGTCATTATAATATTCTATACTACTGAATTGACTTCCAGTTCTATGATAATCAATTTTGCTATCAACAGTGTCTTTCCTTTATCGTTTTGAAGAAAATATTTATTTTAAAAGTATATCAAAACATTCTTAAAGGGCAATAACTCCAAAACAGTCAGTTGTTAGTTAAGATCATGTCATTTGTGCTCATAGTTTATCAGATAAATCCTAAAATTCACCATCACATATGATTTTTGACGATTGATCTAAAACCTTCACAGAGATATGTCTCGCATTTTTTAAATTTTGATAATGCAAATGTTGAAATTAAAATAGCAATACTTAAACATGTAAGTTATGCAAATATTCAAAGGCAATGAACCATGACTGAAGGTACAATCTCCATGGAAATGAGATGTGCCAATGCTAATACAACTGCATACCAAATACCATTGACTTATTATAAGTTGTTCCCTTTAAACAAACCTAAACACAAACATTAACTTGTAAACTATGTAAAAGTTTCAAAGTCAATGAACCATGATGAGGGGGATGGGGCTATATAATCTCCATGGAAACAAAACTTGCAAATGCCAATAAATTTGCATATCAAATATCACTGACTTAACATTAGCAGTTCATCTTAAACTGATCTAATCACAAACTAATACATGTAGAATAAGCAAAAGTTTCAGTCAATAGACCATGACTGAGTGGGCGGGGCCAAATATTCTCCATGGAAATGTGATGTGCTAATGCTTATACAACTGAATACCAATTAACATTGGCCTACCCTAATGGTTCCCCTTGAACTGACCTAATCACAAACTAATACATGTAAACTAAGCAAAATTTTCAAAGTCAATAGACCATGACTGAGGGGGCAGGGCCAAATAATTTCCATGGAAATGAGATGTGCCAATGCTAATATAACTGCATACCAAATATCACTGACCTACCACAGGCAATTGTGGTTCACCATAAACTAGACCTAATCACAAACTAATACATTGTTGACGCTGCCGACAAAAGTCGCAGGCTCGACAAAAACTAATTATACCCCACAGAACAAAGTTCCATAGGGTTTAATTTTTTTGACCTGTCCATCTGTCCGTCTGTTAGTCTAAAATTGAGAATGGAAATGGGGAATGTGTCAAAGAGACAACAACCCGACCATAGAACAGACAACAGCAGAAGGTCACCAACAGGTCTTCAATGCAGCGAGAAATTTCTGTCCGTCAGTCCTATTCTTGTCATCTGAACTCCTCTGAAACCACACAACAGAATTTTATGAAACTTTTTAGATAATAAGGACATACTATGTAGATGTGCATATCGACAGAAAATTATGATTCAACTTTTTTCTAGGAGTTATGCCCCTTTGAACTCAGAATTTTGGCCTAAATATACTACTGCAACAGTTTGTCATCGTAACTCCTTTGAATCCACGAAACAGAATTTCATGAAACTTTGTAGATAATAAGGACATACTATGTAGCTGTGCATATGGACAGGAAATTATGATGATTTTTTTTTCTAGGAGTTGAGCCACTTTGAACTTAGAATTTTTGCCTAAATATTCCACTGCAACAGTTTGTCATTGCAACTCCTCTGAAACTAAACTACAGAATTTTACGAAACTTTGTAGATAATAGGGATATAATATGTAGATCTGCATATCTACAAGAAATTTTTATCATTTGACTTTAGTAGAAATTTTGAGTCTTTTAACTTAGGAATCTAGTGAGATTTTGTTTGCCCAGTGACAAAGATGGGGCTTGGGATATGTGAGCGTGCTCACAAAGGTTCTTTAATTTATTATACTCCTGAAGAGAGCATAAAGATATATGGGTCGAATTGGATCACACAACTAATGAACTGAGAGATCGTGAACATCATCAGGTTGTTGTTAAAACCTTTCCAGATTTCTGTTCCAATTTCGGAATATTTAATTAAGGTGCATCAAATTTTACGCAAATTTGTGTCTGAGGAACATATTATTTCCTGCAAATTTGTATATATCTGATTACCAAAAAAGTAATTTGCTGGATCTAATTAGGAAGCACCTACCTTATATTATATTGATAGCCAAAAGATGAATGACATGCATTACAGAACATCTCATTAGAACAACATATTTTTTGTAAGGTGAGGTCTAAAGTGTATGCAAACTGTATGCAAAAAATAAATAATCTTTGATTGAATTTCATTACCACAAGTTACTTAAAACCTTAATAAATTCCTTCATAAATCACAAGATTTGGTTTGGATGTTTGGCTGTATCTAGATCTGTAGAAAACTTATTACAAATGGGAGAGCACATCTTAATCTTTACCGTGATGTTGTTTACTGAGCCCATAAATTTAGATACTATCCTGGTAAACATTGATTCTAATGACTTTATTCTAAAAGGTTACCAATTCAACACTGTAATTAGATCTTTTAATATTGTTTTTATTGATACAAATATTGATTTTGTTATCAATAAATTGAAACCCTATTTAACTTAATATTATTGTTATACACATATGTACATTTACAGTCCTACAATACACCTAATCGCTACATGTATTTAGTAGAAAAAAAAATTGTTTACTTAGACTTCCTGTATGTGTCAAGTGTTGCAAAAACAAAGGTCACCAGTAATGAGGTAGTTCATGTCTGTCATATTTATTTTTTGTAAATTGTTTTGTTATAAATTAGGCTGTTAGTTTTCTCAATTGAATCATAACCTTTAAGCAAATATGGCCGTATTAACACCACAAATTTCACTCAAGAGTTAACAGACAAACATGTGCACCTGGAAAAGTTTTAAAACATGGCTGGACCTAGATTAATAAAATTTAAAGGCATTTTAAGTTTCAGAATATTTGAAACTTAAACTGGATTTTGCTATTCATTTTTTTCATTCCTGCAGAAGGTGCCAAAATAAACTAAGTTGGGATAAGGTTTAAGAAGGTGCCCTCAAAAAATAAAGGAAAAAAGGAAAAAATTGTTAAAAAATAACTTTGAATCGATCCGTGTCATAAAATTGTTTGGGTAGGCTGCTTTTTATGTGGGTAGGAAGGCAACATCAAACAATCTAAATTTTATTTTTTACTTGAGTGGACTCTTTTAAATGAAACTCGCTGAGGGTTTATTAATTTATTTTTCTGTCTTCTGCAGACTGGGAAAAAAAATGCACATCGAAACCCAGGTAAGTTTTTTATTTTCTGAAACATAAACTGCATGGTGAATGTTTAATAAATATCTGGTACTGAAAAAACATTTAGGCAGGGGTAATCCGTAATATCATGAATATATGTGTAATTCAGGTTTCAGACAGGGTATATAATGTGACATTCCCAGCTTAGAGTTGATATCCCCTTCGCCTTCAGCTCAGTGAATATAAACTCTAAGCCGGGAATGTAACATTATATTGTGAGCCATAAAAGTGTCCTGTGAAATAGTGTCCACCCGGACACTTTTTCCCAGAAAAGGGATATTTAAATGTGCCTGATGCTATGAAAAAGTGTCCATTCAATCAGACATAATTTCATGATACAATACTATTAAATGCTGTCTTGTCAAGGTTTATTTTCATATAAGAGGACACTTTTTCACAGTCAAAAGTGTCCTTTGAAGGGAGATAATAAAAAAGTCACTAAAATGTTTTAGCTATATTTAATTTTCTATTACAAAAACAAACCAATTAAGAACCAGTTATAATTTCATATAAACAAAAATAGAATGTGTTGAATTCCAAAGAATTTTCAATTATCTTAGCTATAAAGATGTCGACAAAAAGTATTCACTAGCCTCAATTGACAATGAGAAAAGAACTATCAAAAGAAAAGCATCCAACTAAAAATAAAAATATGATGAACTGTACTTTACAACTATTGAAAAAAAAAGAGAGAGTATTGTTTTATTGTATAATTTATGTTTAATTACACATGGTGATGATCACATTTTGTATGAATTAAATACTCCAGTTTACATGCCATGTTTTAATGGAGACAAAACCACTATGCTAATTTTAAAACTTCTATTTAGATAAAGAACTGAAGCTATGTATACATTTTGTAGGTATTGAGAGCGGACACTTTTTCACGTGAAATACTGTCCTTTCTACCAGAAGGACACTTTTTCACATCTGTGGACACAATTTCATAGATAAATATTGTCTGGACAATATTTCATAATAACATTATGTCCATGGACACAATTTATTGTGAAAAAGTGTTCGGTGGACATAATTTCACGGCGGACAATATTTAATTCTACAATATAACCTGTCTGAGACCTGAATAACATATATAATATTGTATGCTCCCATATTGTCCAAAATTGGATTTGATGGGAAGATAGAGTTATCATAACCAATGATAATACCATGACTTTTGAGAGGGATATATAGGGCATGTTACTTAAAAGTATGTGGGCTACATCCAGTGAAATTCAAGCTGATGCCACATTATTTGAATGCAATATAAATATCTGGCTCCCCAGTCGCCTGTATATTTTATGCATCAGTTTAAACCTGATCAGATATATAAACAGTTGAATACCAAGCCAATACTGTTAATATTTCTGACAATGGCCCAGCTGCCCCTGATCAAACAGACCCTGGTGAAATAGAAGGTAATACACATTCAAGTGTAATTTTGCCTGACCCACATATTGATAAAAGGAAAAAAGTAGAAGATATTTTGAGTGATGTTGTTGGACAAGCTCATGGTGATGCTACAATTAATAAAAAAAAATACAATTACTTTACCTTGGCCAACTATAGGGAAAACACACCAGTATAGATCTGAATTTACGACACACCATTTTTTACACTTGTTTCCTTGTTTGTTTCCTTATGGTACATGTGATTTTTACATGAATAGACCTAGAACTGTTTCCTCCATTTGTGATTGGGCAGAACATCTGCTCTGGTATGATGATGGAAGGTTTGCCCATCATCCTTATTCTAAATTTGTTGTTCATAACATGATTATGAGAAAGAGAGCTATTGAAGATAGCAATTTTGTTGTACACCAAAAGCTAGGAGAACAACATTTATCTATTTCTGAATTGAGAAAAAACTCAAAATGGTGACAATTCACTAGCTTAAAAAAATTATACTTTGGGGCATCATTACGTGGCACTTCACAATACTGAGCGCGGACGGCTAAAGAACTTCGGGCACTAATACAATTTCAAATTAATGACAAAGAGGCCTACCTGGTTTTTTTTTACCACAGGTAGTTGTGCCAAATACCATTTCAAACCACTCAGAAGATTACTTTCTATTCATTTAAAAGAAACAAGTGGGACAGATGTAGATTTGTCTGAACATGCTGAATGCTCAAAAAAAAATTAAAATCTTTTTTTCAATTTTAGGGAGCTACCATTTGATTTTTGTCTTTTCTTTTATTAGTTTATCCTGACTTTTTTTACATAAATTGTCATCCTGCCTATTTTTTATGCCAAGTAATAATCTTGCTCATCCTGCCTTTTTTTAACTCAAAACTCCTGTACCAGGGCTGCCAAGTCTCACGTATTTAGCGTGAGACTCACGCATTTTCATGCTTATTTGGCGGCATTTTCCTTTGATCTATTGTTTTTTTTTCTCTTTGATCTTTACGATTTTGGCCAAATCTCACGCATTTGCATTATTAAAAGTTGGCAGAACTGCTGTCCTGCTTTTTTTTCAAATTTCATCCTAGCCCCCCCCCCCCCCCCATAAAAATTAAATGATAGCACCCTTAGACAAAAACTATATGTAGAGACATAGCGAATTTGTAAGAGTACTTTCATTCCGCCGTGTATTTATTCTGGGTAACTGTCTTTCACTAGAGAATATTGAATGTAAATAGTGTGAAAGCGTCGAACTTGATATCGTTGGTTTGTTTATATTAGACCGGTTTATTGTTTACATAAATAAATGGTTTAAAATTAAAATGATTTTCAAGGAACCAGTTTAATTAATCTGAGTCAATCTAGTAAATAATATTGATGATAATGAGGAGGATGTTTTTATAACTCAAAATACTTTATCAATGATCAGGACATTGAACTTGATATAAACCAAATTTAAACAGCAGATTTGTTCTTACATACAGTTTCAATTATAGAAGCATCCTTTAAAATTGACATAGAAGATATGATTTTATATCCAATAAAAATAAAATTGAGAATGGAAATGGGGAATGTGTCAAAGAGACAACAACCCGACCATAGAGCAGACAACAGCCGAAGGCCAGCAATGGGTCTTCAATGCAGCGAGAAAGCAAGTCGACCGAAAAGCAAATACAAAGAAAAACTTCGACAATCTTACTAAATATTACAATTAGTGACAATTTAAAAGCATATGATTTTATAGATTTGCATAGAAAAATCATTTAAATCTTATTCGTTAATGAGCATTATTGTGTTATCGTGTGTTCAAAATGAGTACTAATCACTTCATCAATGTATGGATCTAAAGCACTAGTGTAATTAATCCCGGTATAAAATAACTAGTGCAATCATTCCCGTACAAAATCACTTGTGTAATCATTCCTTGTTTAAAAACACTAGTGTGAACATTCCTTGGATGAAAACTCTCCACTTTTTACATCACCGGGGATTTTTTTCCTCCGGATTAAGTACACTAGCTGGCAGAATCAATAAACGTATTTACACTTTTGGTATTTAGCAGAATTTTGCCTCCGAATGACCTTATTATCTACTCCAAATAACCTGAATCTGACGTCAAACAACAATCACTTTTTAATTGTGACGTCAACATTTTTAAATTGTGATGTCAAAGTTTACGGGAACCTGTGTGATTGTACGTAATGGCGGATACATTTGCATACAAGTGAAAATACGTCTATTTCCACTGTTACAAATTATTGACTTGGTTAGCTGGCATTTAAGGGAGCGTCTTCCTCATTTTTGTTTACTTTCCTCGTATTATGGGTTTTCGTACTATTAAGAACGCATTGAGACGTCACAATTTCCATTGAAAAAGCATGCATCTAGTACGAATTCATATGATATGACGTACGAAAACATATGATCTGACCATATATGCTATGCGGTATGGGTTTTGCTCATTGTTGAAGGCCATACAGTAACTTTTAGTTCATATCTTCTATGTCATTTGGTCTCTGGTGGAGAGTTGTCTCATTGGCAATCAATGAATCATACCACATCTTATTTTTATATTAACTGCTTAGAAAAAATTGCTAAATATTTTTTATAAACTTGGCACTGTCATGAAGTCTCTTTCTCATTAGATTACCTTGCTCGTGTTAGCAAAATAAATTTTGTCCTTTTTATCTGCTAGACCTATTGTCATAAGTATATATATAAAGTTTCTTAAGAGGGAAATTCGTACCTGTAAATTTATGGACGTTGGTTTTTCGGTATTCAGATGAACTACACATCATTTTTATTAATTTTCGTAGTTTTTATACAATCCTTTCTAGATAAATGCAAAGCATAAGAATATAATAATTGAAGAAATCTAAGTTCTTTTTTAACTGTTCGCATGTTAACAGTTCGAAACTAAATGTAGTAAAATTGTAAACACGATGGCGGCTGCCGGTGTTGCTGCACCACAAACCGGCACACAAGATGACGAAGAATGGCTTTATGGGGGTAAAATAGATGTTCAAATATAGACGTACCGTTAAAGATATGCTATCTTTACTTTAAATTGTTTCAATATTTAGAAATGTTCGTTTTCTAAACTGTTGTCTAATCCAACTTTTGTCTCGAGGACTTTTTTTACTATTTATTTTAGACAGGTGCTACATATGAAAATATGGTACATCTACAGAGGGGTTTAAAGATAAGTTAGATTAGATTAGCTAATTGAAGTCTAAAAACTTATGACAACTTGGATGGCTGTCTGAATTTTTGCTTTGTTGCCTTTAATGAGGGTGGTAAAGGGTATACGTGCAACATGTTTTGCCATTTTTATTACATGTGCAGCCGTGAAAAAGGTTCGTTATTCACCCTGTTTCGTGAAATCGGTAAAAAGATCAACGTGCAAGACATTTTTAATGGTTCGTTCATCGTGAAATGGCAATTTTATTTTGCGTTCTTCCGTGCAGATACCCCCCTTTACGCCCCTCTTTAATGAGGAATCTTAAAAAATAAAATTGAGAAATAACCTCATTACACCGATGCAGGAAGCGATGTCCATACTGCCATGTCGTCCATAGGATGTATCGTTTCATACCTTGAAAAGATGTATTGGCCATAGGACAACATCGCCCATATTTTGTGAAGAAGCGTTGTCCATCGTTTTTTCTTTCTTCTTAGAAATCAATTTTATTTATAAAGTATTATGATATATACATTACTGAGATGGTTATTATGACTCGTAAATGTATTATGCTGTATTTACATTATTTGTCATGTTTTTTATATGTATACACTTGGAACAGCATTATATATATCATATATAAATGTGCTTTATCTGATAAAAATTTTATATGGGGATGAAGTCCCCAATTACAGTAGAAAAATCAATAAAAAAAAAATAAATCAAAAATTCAATCTACTAATGAACTCAAAATCGTTAACTTTTGTTTTCTAACTTTTTTTATTTTCCTGCATCTGCGCAGAAATCTTTTCCTGTATCGTTTATCTCGGGATTAGAGTAAAATATTATGGGGACGTGCCTCATAACAATAAGCAAATCCATTAAACTAAAAATCAATATAAAAATCAACATATTAATGAAATCATAGCGTTTCTTTGTTAACATTGAAAATTACGTCACAACTAAAATCCCTAACAACAGGAACAACATCGGAAATGTTTCCGTATTTATGTTTCCTTTTTAACAGACTCTGGAGTAAAAATATGCTTTGATTAAAAAAATAATTTATACGAACTTCGTCCCCTTTCACAGGTAACACCTGCCTCATAGTATTCTTTTCTTAATGGATTTTTCATATCTTGCGTAAAACAAACTGAAAAAATAAAACAAACAAAAATTAATATCCAAAATGGGAGATTAATTTCTGTCATAGTTAAAACAATAAGTTTAGTTTTGAAATATAAAACTAAGTAATCAGATAATGATTTATTTTAAAATTAAGATGATTGTGGCGGTATGGCCGACACAACCTATGGATGCACGAAAGTATGGCTGTCGCGTCTCGAAAGCATTATACACCATGATAATGTGGACTATTGGGATGCAAGACAACCCGTATGTCCATAGAAAAGACAACTCATGATGTTCTTCAAAAAGGTTCCTCAAATCGTAATTACATGTATCTCGAATCGAAGTCATTAATGACATTATATTGTTTGTGTCCATTTGATCACATTTTGCATATTTGATAGCTAATATGCTGCGCAGTTGTCGACAAGCTTGCTTGGTTATTTAAAATCTTGTTCAAGATATGCTATACTAATGTAATAGAAAAACAAAATATATGGGGTATCCATCCATGACACAAAATCAGTACATGCACAGCAAAAAAAACAAAACAAAAAAAAACGCAAAAAGCAAAGGAACAGTGTTTTTATTGCTGTTCTTCCTCGCAAAGTCACAGTGAGGCCTTCAACACGGAGCAAAAAAAAATCTCACCTCACTGCAAGTATAAGACGGCCCCTAGCAACGGTTTGAGCGAAATTCTTTGCAAAAATATATAAAATAAAATATTTTGGCCTGACTTTAAAAAGAAGGTCTGAGTTGACTTAAAAAAAAATAACAAAAAGAACTCTTTTTGCCATTTATCTAGTAAAGCTCTGTTTTTTTTTTATGTTTGTCATGTTTAGATTTATTTATATGGAGTCATTGCTGCCACATTTTAATCAGATTATTTATTATATTTTAGATGATAATAAAGAGGCACAAGAAAAAGCTAGTGGGTAAGCTATATATATATATATATATAATAAACATGATTAAAGAACTGTTGTTGCATTTCTTTAAAAGTAAACTATTTTTATACGACCGCAAGTGATATGCCGTTGGCGTTGGCGTTGTCGTCGTCCGAAGACACATTGGTTTTCGCACAAAAACTTTAGTTTAAGTGAATGGATATCCATGAAATTTAAACATAAGGTTTATAACCACAAACGAAGGTTGGGATTGATTTTGGGGGTTATGGTCCCAACAGTTTAGGAATTAGGGGCCAAAAAGGGGCCCAAATAAGCATTTTTCTAGTTTCATGACAATAACTTGTGGAACAGTGTATGGATCTCTCTGAAATTATACCACAAGTTTCCATACCACAAAGGGATGGTTAGGATTGGCTTTGGGGGGTTATGGCTCAAACCGTTTAAGAATTAGGGGCAAAAAAGTGAGAAAAAACCAGGGTGTCCTGGTTAATGGACAATTACATGAGTACAAATTACAGTGTAAGGGAGGTAATTCAAAGTCGTTTTTGAATTACCTCCCTTACACTGCTTTTAAATTATGAATTTTTGTATTGTCTTGAAGTGATTAGCTGTCAATTCATTTTTAGAAGTTACTATTTAAATAATTTTAAGAACGCTGATTAAGGTAAATTAATTTAAGCTATGATTATGTAGACTTTTATGATGTACTTAAATGGGTTATTATGGTTGCAAACTCCATTGGAAATTTGAATTGAATTATGACCATGACTGAGGGAAAGAATTTTATTTTGGAAAAAGAGAGGGGGGGGGGGGGGGGGGGGAAGGGAGGTTAAAAAAAAATTGGGGTGGGAGGGAGACAATTTTTTCTCCTCAAGATTTCAGAAATCAAAAAGAAAATCCTTCAAATTTTTTTTTTTTTTTTAAAAAAAGGGGGGGGGGGGGGGAGGTCAATTCGCAACAGCATAGTGTATTGCACAAAAGCAAAAAATTGAATATAAATTCAAATCATATAACCAATTCTAAGTTCTTTGACTACAGTTATTCTGTGTCAGAAACCTATTATGTGTCAAATATTGAATTACAATCCAAATTCAGACCTGTATCAAGCGCGAATATTGTGTCCATTTTTGCCCCAACTGTTCAGGGTTGGACCTCTGTGGTCGTATCCAGCTGCGCTCGGCGAAGCAATTTATTAGAAATAAAATAAGATTGTATATTGATAAGATACTAATAAACATGATAAAACATCTCGCAGGAGAATCATTGACAAGTTTTTAGATTGATCAAATGAATATTGTGCAAGAGCTAAACATTTCTGCTGTGTCCTTAATGGTAACATTTTGTTAGTTGTCCAAGTTCCTTCTTAAGTAATTTTTCCTGTTTAAGATATACATACATTTTTTTGTCAATACCAATGTTTTTGACAAAATTGAATCAAACTAACCGCTAAAAGTGAAATATTATTTCACAATTTCGCTTTTATAAATGTTTGAAACAAAGAAAATTGTATTTTATTTTTTGTCAAAATTTTAGCTATTGCCCCTTTAATTAGTATGTATGTAATGAAATGAAAGTTTTCTTTCTTCCTACAGAAAATCAAGTCAGTCTTAGTTGAATAACATGAATAAAGTACAACATAATATATAGATTATGTATAACATAAGTATACCTGAACTATCTTGAAATATCTGGAGTTCTGAATCTCTAATGATATCATTTTCTCATTCCTACCTTGTACACATATTTTATATTATCCTACTGTAAGCCATGTTCATTGGCACTCCGTTTTTTACACAAATTGATTTAGAAATTTTGTGAAAATTGTGTTTTATTTCATATAACAGGGTTGCTGAACCAACAAAACACAGTAGATCTGACAGAAAAGATGACAGAGAAGCTGGAGAATTGGTATGGCATGAAATAAATAAAGGATCTTAGACTTTTGCTTCCAATAATTTGTGCTTGTGCAACGAATTTACATGTATATGAAACCGTATCAATGCACAATTAAGAATAAACTACTTTGCAACAGCAAGTGGATTAAAAATATAAGAGGTTGATTTACTGTAGATTTTACTTAGAGTTCTCAAAATCTTTTTTTCACTGGTGGTCCTTGAAGAAAATCTGCTGATCCTCACTATGATTTCTATGTCAAAATACCAAAATTGTGTCAGTCCTTTGAAAATTTTGGTGGTTAAAACCTTTGGACCACCACTTTTCGAGAACTCTGTTTTACTGCATTTACATATTGACCCTTGGTATTTGGTAATTTCAGTGAACTTTACAAAGCATATAACAAAAATGGATCTGCAACACTCATTTGTTAAAAATTTTTATTTGAATGTTTTTAGCCAGTCTAGTGAAATTTTGATAAGTAAATTCTCAAGTTACTTGTAGACATAATCCCTAATGAAAATCTTAAAACCTAAAAAGCTTCCCCAAATCTGTTATCAAGATTATATCTTTAAATTTGTTTTTTTCAGAGTGGCGAGGAGGAATCACAATCACAAGGAAAAGAAAATGCTGCAGAACGTGAATCTGAAGATAGCGATGAGGATTCTGATGATGATGTTCAGGTCACAATTGGTGATATACAAACTTTTCCTATGAATGAGTAAGTCTGTTTCCATCGCTACATATGATATGTTGTATTATGGGAACATCAATGATCAGATCATTTTATTTTGTTAAAACATCATTTTGAAAAATTTAAGGTGTCATGTTTTTAATCTCACTGGTTTTTATACGACCGCAAATATACCTTATATAGGTATGATGTTGGCGTCGGCGTCTTTGTCGTCGTCGTCCAAAGACACATTGGTTTTCCCACTCTAACTTAAGTTTAAGTGAATGGATCTCTATGAAATTTTACCATAAGGTTCAATACCACAAAAGGAAGGTTGGGATTGATTTTGGGGGTTGTGGTACCAACAGTTAAGGAATTAGGGGCCAAAAATAAGCATTTTTGTAACTTCCAGACATAACTTGTGTGTTAGTGTATGGATCTCTCTGACATTGTACCACAAGGTTCCATATCACAAGGGAATGCTGGGATTGATTTTGGGGATAATTGCCTAAAAATTTTAGGAATTAGGGGCCAAAAAAGGGGCAAAAAACAAGCATTTTTCTAGTTTCATGACAATAACTTGTGTGTAAGTGTATGGATCTTTCTGAAATTGTACTACAAGGTTCCATATCACAAAAGGAAAGCTGGAATTGAGTTTTGGGGTAATTGCCCTAAACGTTAAGGAATAAGGAGCCAAAAATAAGCATTTTTCTAGTTTCGAGACAATAACTTGTGTTCAAGTGTATGGATCTCTCTGAAATTGTACTGCAAGGTACCATACCACAAAGGGAAGGCTGGGATTGATTGTTTGGGTAATAGCCTCAATATTTTAGGAATTAGGGGCCAAAAAGGGTAAAAAAACAAGCATTTTTCTAGTTTCAGGACAATAACTTGTGTGTAAGTGTATGGATCTTTATGAAATTGTACTACAAGGTTCCATATCACAAAGGGAAAGCTGGGTTTGAGTTTGGGGGTAATTGCCCGAAACGTTTAGAATTTGGGGCCAAAAAGGGGCCTAAAAACAAGCATTTTTCTAGTTTCCAGACAATAACTTGTGTTCAAGTGTATGGATCTCTCTGAAATTGTACTGCAAGGTACCATACCACAAAGGGAAGGCTGGGACTGAGTTTGGGGGTGATGAATAATATGGGGGTTCAAAAAATTTGGGGGAGGGATTTTTTTTTAAACAAACCAAAGCGGCGATCTACACATGGTCTACTAAATTTGTTCATAGAGCCATCGCTGGCAAACAATCGGCGATTGAACCCTACAATGGAGCAAACAAATACTGTAACAGCCGAGAAAGTGATTCAGATGATGAAATGGATAGTGAAGATGACTTTAAATAAGATTTATATATAAAAGCAAATAATAATGATATGGTTTGAATAGGTAAATTAAAAAATTTTAAGTTCTTAGACCACATTCATTCTGTGTCAGAAACCTATGCTGTGTCAAATATTTAATCACAATCCAAATTCAGTGCAGTATCAAGCTTGAATGTTGTGTCCATACTTGCCCCAACTGTTCAGGGTTCGACCTCTGCGGTCGTATCAAGCTGCGCCCAGCGGAGCATTTTATTCCCAATAGCCCTTTGTTAAAATGTAATAACATTTCAAATGGAAGTGATCCTTAACTTTTTTGTTGAGTATATGTTATGGGAGACTAATAAAACACATTTTAAAATCATTTTTAAAATGAATCCTAGTTATACATATATAGATCCTTCTGAACATAATTGTTATTTGCTATCTGCAAGTTCTCTTTTACATCATCAGTTATACTTTTATCTTTTCAGTGCATCTAGAAATTTATTTAAGACACAAGGTGGATACCACAAGTCTGCTGGTAAGAATATAACTGTAATATTTATAAAAGGGTTATGTTTAAGAGGAAAATTTAAGTGGTAAGCAATTGGTAGCGAAAATCTCAAAATTTGACAACTGCAGAAATTTTCTGTTCTTGTTATTCCAGATTCTAAAAAAACTTTAATCATGGCCTCCATGAAAGTGAACTACATTTATGCTTTAATGACTTTGATTGCCATGCAATTATTTTTGTTTTATTGTGCAATCTAGCAAGTGGTAAAATTTATAAAAATAAGGTCTTTCCCTGATAAAATCATAAACAAACCTGAAACTAACATAACTTATTTAGATATTAGTTTTGACCTGGAATGAATGAAGCCATTTCTAAAAAAATGACATTTTGAAAACACTCATAAAAAACACATTGTGATGCCATCAATTTTTAACAGCACTTGTATAACAAGTATTTCTTTAAAAAATGTCAGCATCCCATATTAGAAACTAAATTGATGCTTCTAGAAGATTAAAACAAAAAATCAGTTATGACATTTCAAACATGAATAAATCACTAATAAATGTGTTTATCGGCAATTTGTACATATTCCCTTTGATCTTACTGCCTTATATTTTTATAAGGGGCCTCGGTGGCCAAGTGGTCTAAGTAGTTACTACTGTAATCACTAGCCAGTCAACACTGAGGTTGTGAGTTCGAACCCCGCTCGTGCGGGTGCACTCGACTCCAATCTTAATTGACTAGGATTGTCAGTTTTCCTATTGAAGGTCGGTGGTTTTCTCCGGGCACTCTGGCTTCCTCCACCATTAAAAACTATCTGCCACGAAATAGCCCAAAAGCGGTGCTTAAAAGTGGCGTTAAAAACACAAAAAATCAAAAATCAAAGATCATGGACAGGACTTAATATTTGAAAATATTAAACTCACTTGTTATTCTTGCTGATAAAGTCAGTATTAAAAACTAAAATGCAATTATTCTATATTTATCTGCAACTTGTACTTTTTCAGTTTGATCTCACTTCCTAATATTTTTCTAGATCACGGAAAGGACCTGATACTCGAAAATATTAGGCATCGGTGTCACATATCAGTGTAGCAATGTCAATTTATCAATGAAATGCAACCGAACAACTATCATAATTGCCTAAATCCAGCTAGCTTGATATTCTTGCTGATAGAAGTCAGTATCAAAAACAAAAATGTGATTATTCTTTATGAATTGACCTCATTGTAAGGCTGACTTTGTACAGAGTGCCGGTCCCGATGACCGATGTAAAAACGGCCGTTATAGTGCATATTTCGGCACTTTTTTACATCAGTTATTAGATGTACCGCAACTGTTTCCAATAAGTGTTTACATAGGTTATCAGATGTACCCGCTGCCAATTTCCGGTACTGGTTTACGGATTTATTATAAACAAACCAAAGCGGCGATCTACACATGGTCTACTAAATTTGTTCATAGAGCCATCGCTGGCAAACAATCGGCGATTGAACCCTACAATGGAGCAAACAAATACTGTAACAGCCGAGAAAGTGATTCAGATGATGAAATGGATAGTGAAGATGACTTTAAATAAGAACAATCAGAAGACCTGAACTGGTCCTTCATTGTTAATTTGCCTGTGGGTGCGAAGAATAAAACTAATATTAATAAAGTTATTTTTCGATAAAATATGTTATTAATTTTATTTCAGGATAAAATTGACAGATTTTGTAGGACTGGCTAAAATTTTGTAGGACTGACAAATAATCATGCTTTGTTGGTCCCATGACCGACTGGTCAAAATAAGTTTTCGCGAACTCTGCAGAGCTAAATAAACATGAATATGTATAATCTATTTATAGGTGGAGCCATCAGAGCAATAACATCAACAGGGACGACCAAGGGCGTGGATGTAGAGGCAGTAGGAAGTATTAATGGTGTACCTACTTATGACTTTGATCTTGATGGTATACAGGCTGAAGATAAACCATGGAGAAAACCAGGTCAGTCAAATTTCCCTTTTTAGCTCACCTGGCCCAAAAGGCCAAGTGAGCTTTTCTCATCACTTGGCGTCCGTCGTCATCGTCTGTTAACTATTACAAAAATCTTCTGCTCTGAAACTGCTGGACCAAATTTAACCAAACTTGACCACAATCATTATTAGGGTATCAAGTTTAAAAAATGTGTCCGACGACCCCACCTTTCAACCAATTTTTCCCTACTATCTCGAAAATTATAATAGACTGAAACTTTGAATAGCAAAAATGATCAGCAAGACAAGATCTACAATTAAGTCAACATGACCGAAATTGTTAGTCAACTCCTTATTGAAGTTATTGCCCTTTAATGACAATTTTTCCCATTTTTGCCTATTATCTTGAAAACTGTAATGATTGATAGAAACTTTGAATAGCACAAATGATTAGCAAGACAAGATCCACAAATCAGCCATTTTCAATCGACTCATTATTGGAGTTACAGCCCTTTAGTTATAATTTTTGTCTCGCCTTGATGGAGTCAAAAAGCGAGACATAGGTATGCTGTTTCCGTTGTCCGTGGCTGCGGCGTCAACAATGTATTAGTGTGTGATTAGGTCTAGTTTATGGTGAACCACAAGTGGTAGATCAATGATATTTGGCATGCAGTTGTATTAGCATTGGCACATCTTATTTCCATGGAGATTATTTGGCCCTGACCCCTCAGTCATGGTCTATTGACTTTGAAACTTTTGCTTAGTTTACATGTATTAGTTTGTGATTAGGTCAGTTTATGGGGAACCACTAGTGATAGGTCAATGATATTTAGTATGCAGTTGTATAAGCATTGGCATATCTCATTTCCATGGAAATTATTTGACTCCACCTCCTTAGTCATGGTCTATTGACTTTGAAACTTTTGCTTAGTTTACATGTATTAGTTTGTGATTAGGTAAGTTCAAGGGGAACCATTAGGGGTAGGCCAATGTTAATTGGTATTCAGTTGTATAAGCATTAGCACATTTCATTTCCATGGAGAATATTTGCCCCCCTCCTCAGTCCTGGTCTATTGACTTTGAAACTTTTGCTTAGTTTACATGTATTAGTTTGTGATTAGGTCAGTTTAAGATGAACTGCTAATGTTCAGTCAATGATATTTGGTATGCAAATTTATTGGCATTTGCAAGTATCATTTCCATGGAGATTATATAGCCCCACCCCCTCAACATGGTTCATTGACTTTGAAACTTTTACATAGTTTACAAGTTAATGTTTGTGGTTAGGTTTGTTTAAGGGGAACGACTTATAATAAGTCAATGTTATTTGGTATGCAGTTGTATTAGCATTGGCACATCTCATTTCCATGGAGATTCTTAAGCCATGTACCTTCAGTCATGGTTCATCGACTCTGAATATTTGCATAACTTACATGTTAAAAGTATTGCTATTTTAATTTCAACATTTGCATTACAAAATTACAAAAAGGGGAGACATATCTCTGTGATAACAGTTTTTTTAACATTTGTTGCCTATTATCTTGAAAACTATAATAGATAAATAGAAACTTTAAATAGGAAAAAGTATCAGCAGGATAAGATCTACAAATATGCCAAACATGACTGAAATTGTCAGTTAACTCTTATTAGAATGTTGATTTTTACTAAAAAGTGGCAATTGTTGAAGATGCAGGTGAGCGACACAGGCTCTTGAGAGCCTCTAGTTGTATTACCAAAAAAAACTTTGACTAGAGTGGCTCAAATATCTTCATAAGTGTAGTTCTTTCTTTTTAAGAAAAAGATTTTATTTAATTGCTACAAAACAAATGTTCAGTAATAACTTAGTTTGTATAAATAAATTATCATGAGGATGAAAACTCAGTTTTACCATTAATCTCCTATTCTTGAATAGAATTTTCCTTAGCAACTTGGCAATTAAAGTCGTACCTGATCTGGCTAAATTAACCAAATAATATTCTTCTAAAAAATGTAAATTCAAAAATGTTTGCAATGATTGCAAAAACTGCAATAGGAGGGGTTTGGCAAAAATGTTAACTCACATTTTAAGAACAATGGACCTAAATGCAAGATTTTATTACACTGTATACAAATTATGCTATAAAATTTCAACAATCCCAATAATAAATGCACTAAAAAATCAGCATTTATAGTATTCACACGTCATAAAAATTAAAGGGGTGTTAATAAATAATGTTATTAAGGAAAATTGTGCTTCACTGTTGAAAGTTGGCAATTATGAATACCCAATCAAAAAGCACTGTTATATAAGATGCAAACCAATTCCAGAAATGGACAATCTACACCTAAATTCACAATTTCAAAGGGTTATAACTGAAATCATACTAAAGGTAAATTTAAAAGAAATGTAGGTTCTAAATTACCAAAGTTATACAATATTTATTCTCCTCACAGGTGCTGACATAACGGATTATTTTAACTATGGGTTTAACGAAGATACATGGAGACAATACTGTGATAGACAGAGAAGAATGAGGTCAGAAGCTGGATCCATGGGAGGGAGGACTTATGTTAGTATAAAAATTTACGAAATTCAAATGGTTTATTTTTAAAAACTGAAGAAATGAAAATATTTTGTATTTTGCCGTAGTGTTTCATAATTAGAACTTGTACAATAGATTTTCACAATTCAAAAACATAGTACATGTAGTTATACATTTGTTTTACTTTGATAACCTAGAAATATAATAATGAATGTTTAAACCTTGTATGTATCCTTCAAATGATCAGAAGACATTGATATGTTATAAATTTTGTTCAAAATAATTTCTTTAGGACTTCAAACATATCTCATCCCATTTAATTCAAAAAATTAAAAAATTATCAAAATAGCCTAATTTTTAAATCATGTCATTAATATTTATACATGAGTCAAGGTGTTACTTAAACACATATTTTGCAACAAGATGTCATATTTGAAGATGTGGATAAAATATCTTTTAGTTAATGCCTTGGCTCATGTCTATTTTGTCTGAAAACAAGCTGTGAAATACTGAATTTTTGCCAAAATGTCAATTTTGACATGTTTATTGCATTGCACTTAAGTGGCCAGATTTTATCAATGACTTAGTATAGTTTTGAAAGTTAAATTTTTTACTATAATTACAATATGAGGGGCAAAATAATGGCTGTCCTTTATTTAATTGCAATACGCATAGAAGAAGACCCTATATTAATACTGAACGAATAACAATGAGATGAAGAACAACGATCAAGAGTTGTTGACATATTTTCTAAACTATGTTGAAGTCCTTCCTTTAATCACAAAGTGATTAAAAATTGTTCTAGAGTTGTCTCTCTTTGTCTGTTGTTAATTGTAATTCACAAATACCAAAATTAAAATACTACAGACTTTCTGTATATTATACTCGTATTGTGTAGAGGTTCCATCCTCTGTTTTTCATTTATAACTTTTACCACTTATACAAAAACAATCATTCTAATTACACATACATTTTATTACACCAACTTGTATTTACATTTTCATGACTAGAATATACATTTTTACTTTGTGGCATTACTTTGGCTACAGAGTATTCTATAATATTTTGTTGAGGCGCCAGGGTGACTACCGATTACCTATACACAATGGCTATCAGCTGACCTATGTTGACATAGTATCATAAAACCCCTGGTAGTTAAACACGGTTACACCACCACCTACCATGGGGAGTGACCGGGGAAAACACTCGTATTACCAATGCTCCAGGGCCGAGTGAAATAATCCCCCAATCACTACCAGTCTCCCTGGACCGCCACATGAGAGCCCAAGTCATCTACCAAATCTGACTTGGGTTCTCACCTTCACAAAATTTTCATTATTGAAGCATTGGAAAAGTTGAAATTGTTGTGCGTAGGAAAGACTCAACCCCTCCTTGTATATTATTTAAGAAAACCTGGTTTCCAGTTTGTGATAAATGAGCTCCATCTGTTCTGTATAAAGACACTTCACTTGCCCTAATGTTCTCATGTAAAATAGCTTTCCCCCCATTTTCTATTACAAAGTTTTTGACCACTGAATTCACTCTTTTTCTCTTCTGTTCGATTATTGCACCCACATTCAAGGGTGCAAAATGCCAGTATCTGCGCTGTAGCATTGAAGACCATATTATAATAACTTTTTTAAATAAAGCCTGGTAACGTAGGATAGAACATTTTACATTTTCAATTAAACCCTTTCCTGTCAATTCTAAATCTGTCAAATCATTAGCTCCACAGTGAATAATAATAAAATTAGGAGAAGGTAAAAATTTTCTTTTTGCATCCAGTAGGGAGTCCAATCTTTAATCTGTAAACCAGGTTGCCCAATCCAGTATGTTGTAACACCTTTGGACTCCAGTCCCAGGTTGGTCCTACCATATTTCTTCGCCTCTACATTGGCCCAATGAACAAGGGAACTTCCAACAATCCATAAAATCTTGGGACCTGTGAAAACTTGTAGCTTGTTAGCCTTTTGAATCTAGAAAAATTGCAACCTAATATAGCGAGAATAAGCATGCGGTTTCCATCTGCCTAATTTCATAATTACCTCCTCTGAGACCCCCTGCCTGGCTAGTTCCGTGGCTCCCCCAATTCTAAAACTATGTGACCTAAAATTACCTTTACTAATATGAAGAAAATGTAAAGCCTTTTCCAGTATACTGCTGAATTGGTATCTAGTTAAAGGCATACCATTATAATGAATAAACAAATCTTTATTGTTACAGGTAGGGCGTACCTTTAAGTATTCGTTAATGAGTAGTATCGGACAGTATTTTTTTCTGTTCTCAGGTATCAACAAGGTAACGGACTTTCCCTTTTGGTCAGTTATTGACCTTCTTACCCTTAGCTCCAGGACTTTTTTCTTAACTAAAATATCAGAAATTGTTAAGTTGGAGCCATTTATAGCAGACTTGGTTTTTGAAGTAGTGATTTCCCCTACCCTTAGCAAACCAAAGAAGGCAACTGAAAAAACTGCTGAAAATAAAGCAGCTTCATATTTATTCTTACATACTTTATCTAAACAACCTATCATATCTGCTAACAATTGCACTGTAATTGGTGCTCTAATGTCATTACGTTTCCCTCCTTGAATTCTTTTTATTCCTTCTAATGCCTTGCCAATTATAAAGAATTTTGTAGTATCCTGTATGCCTTGTATTTTATGATGGTATGAAACTCCTGATATATAAGATGATATGGTACCCCCAGAAAGACCTTGTACTGACAAAAAAGCTATAAAATTTAGCAAATCATTGACTGGCACTGGCCATAGCTGTTTCAATTTGTAATATGATCTAAAATTACAAAGTTTTGAAAGAGCCAAATTGTATGATTTTTGTGTATTTTTGGACACACCTTGATTGACAATATAATCCGCCACCTGACTTAAATGTTCCAGATCTGTGTTGGAATTTTGGTTGGCCACTGGTCTGCTTCTGGAGCTAGGCTTCTGAACTTCCCCCACTGAGAACGAGAAAGACAATCAGCAATTTGATTTTGTTTTGGAAGGAATATAAATTGCCTTAACTGACGTATTGTTTTTTAAGTTCATTAAAACCATTTGTCTTACTAAAGTCATAACTCTACTTGATTTGCTTGTTTTCATATTAATGATTTGAACAACTGCCTGATTATCAACATGAAAAATAACTTTTTTGTTAACAAAATATGATTCCCAGGACATAAGTGCTGCTACAACTGGAAACAACTCTAACAATGTCATATCTCTGGTGATTCCAGTTTCAACCCAATGTTTTGGCCATATGCCTTGGGCCCACTGACCTGCAAAATAGATCCCATACCCACCTATGGACCCCCCTGCACTATCCATGAACAACTCTTATTTTTCATTTGAAACCCATACATTGTCGGTTATTACAGTGACACCATTGTATTGTTTTAAAAAGTCTAACCAAACTTCTAAATCTGCTTTCATCTGCTTGTTTACCCGAATTTCGTAATATGATTTTCTTACCTCGATTGTTGAATTTATGAGTCTGCGACAGAAGGTGCGGCCTGGAGCAACCACCTTGCAAGCAAAATTCAGGAGCCCAAGAAGAGATTGCATATCTTTAAGAGTTATTTTAGAACTGTCTAAGGTATCTCTGATTTTTTGTGAGAGTTTGACAAGTTTTTCATTTGGAAGCCGCATGATTAAATTCTGTGTATCAATTTCTATACCCCAAAAAAATTAGTAATGTAGTAGGCAAAGTAGTCTTGTCACTAGCAAGAGGAATACCTATTTTATCGCATACCTCTTGGAATATCTTCAAAGTATTGCCAACTTTTGATGTTTGGCTCGACTCGACAAAAAGAAAATCATCTAAATAATGGAGGTTATTATCATTTCCGCTTTTTTGCTGTATTATCCAATGCAAAGCTTTTGCAAATTTCTCCCACAGGGCACAACTTATTGAGGCCCCCATTGGCATCATTTTATTAAGATAATATTCACCCTGAAATTTTATCCCTAACAAGTCAAAATCCTGCGGGGCAATTGGCAACAAGCGAAAAGCTGCTTTTACATCACACTGACTTAAACGGGCAAATGTTTTGTGTCTATTGATCAAACATGCTGCTTCGTCCACTGAACTGTACTGCACTGAACAATGATCTTTATCAATACAATCATTTATTGAATTATTCTCAGGATAGGATAAATGTTGAATAAGTCTAAAATCCCCATCCTTTTTTGGCACTAGCCCCATTGGTGATACCTGAAGTGTGGGAAAAGGCGGGTATCTGAAAGGACCAGCAATGCGACCAAGTTTAACTTCCTTCATTAATTTTTCTTTAAAAATGTTGGGTAGCTGTAATGCCCTTTTTAAATTGGAACTCTCCCTTGGTTCCCTAGAGCCAAAATATTTTAATGAAAAACCATATTTGAAACCAGATATAATTTCATGTGCTACATTGTTATGTGGGTAAAATTCTAAATAATTTTCCAAGACCGATACTTTAACAGGAGTATTTCCTAATGAATAAAAATTAATACTTTTTGTTACTTCTTCCTTGGGCCCGGTTATTACATTGGGCCTTTCTGTGTTTGCCACTGCATATTTCACATACATGTTTAAACCTACAACGAGGGAAGTAGGGACAGTCATTACCATTATTATAGTATTTACATGACATATTTACACTTCCACTAGTTACCTGTGATTGTTGATGTGTTCTCGTGTTAGTGTTTGAAAGTGTAGCTGCATTTGAGTTATAATGACCATGATTTTGTGTATTTGTTCTATAACCATGTGATTGCCCTGACACATTGTTTTGTACTGTGGGAGATGAGATGTGTAATAGCCAATATTCACCGTGTATATTTCCCCAAGATAAATTTGGATTCTTTTCTATTTTTAGCCTAAATTGCTCATCATAAGTGGCCCAGTTTTCTGACCTCGTTGCCGCTAATCTTATATCGCGCATATATTTTAACAATTCCTGTGCCCGTGTCCTATATTTCTCAATGTAGACACTCATAAAAACCATAAATGCTGAAGTCCGTTCATTTATGGACAAATAACCACCCGACGATTTTTTTTCAATGCAAATTTTCCCCCTTTTTAATTTCAAATCGCCCTCGTCAACCTCCTCAATTTCTTTTTGCGTTCTCAAAAGATAATGAAGCTCTATAAACTTTCCCTCCCAATCCCAAATCTTTTCCTTAATTTTAAAAGACACGTGTTCCCCTACTGTGTCATGAATGCTAGACTCTTGTTTTGGAGTGAAATCAATGGAATTATTTGCCATTTCAAAATTTTTGTGTGATGGGTCGTGCCTAAAAAAGGGAAATGCCTGTGGATCCTCCTCCGACTCATTACCTGATGATATTTCAGTATTTTCTTCTGGTCCTTGTGTCTCCACGTGTCCAACCTCCTGTGTTTTCCTGACCATTCTTTTCCGTCCAACTCCGTCCTTCTTTTGAGTGATTTCTTCGTTCCGCACTCCCTGTCCTTCTTTCCTGCTGGTCGTCCTCCTCTTCTTTCCAATGGCCCTTGATGGCGATCCCCAGGCATTTCTTTTGTTTGGCATCTTTTCGTTTAAATAATTTAACTAATTTCTGCAGCACCTGCTTTGTTGTCGACAGCAAATTAACAAGTGCCTGATACGGGAATTCCAAAATTTAGATTCCACCTGAGAGCGCCATCTATGGCCATGCCAAATATGGCATTGAGCTAAAGGCTGCAACACCCACACACCCACACAAATATTTGATTGAATTAAACCAGATTATTGAAAATATTAAATTTTGATAATCTCTATTATTGTGCAAAAATTAAAGATTAAATTGATTAAAGTAGGGCTTATTTGTACATTGAAAAACATGAATTCGTGTGTAGTAATGTGTATGTATTATTATTTTAGGCAACAGTACGACCCATTGGAGATCCAAAGAAAGATTTACTAGGTAATTTGATTGAAGTTAAAAGTATGAAAATGGATGCAACAGTAAGGTTAATGAGACACTTTACCAACTTAGGAAATTTTATAAAACAGCAAAGTACCATGGGTTTTCTATCCTATTGATTATAAATTTTAGAATTGATTCCATCCCTAACAGATAAAATGTTGACCAACATTACATAATGAATATCTAAGTGTAAATTATAGATAGTAACATTTGGTTATATTTTTAAAATCTTAGCTTTGACCTATTGAAATGATATAGTAAACTTATTTTAAATGATGTTTTTTTTTAGTTACAATAAATCTTTAGATACAAAGAAGATCGATTAAGACCCATATCATTGATAAAATAAAAAGATATGGGGTAGATATACACTAGAGGATATCCTGCAAAAAATCTATTACACAATTGTGTAAACTGAATTTTATCTTACATATAGTATCAAAGATCCAAAATTATTTGTGAAATTGGGGAAGGCATTTGTAAGGTTTTAAATGATAATGATTTTATAGTGTATTAGTTTATAATAAGATACATATTAAAACATTTTGAAAACGGCACATGTATCTAAATAATACAAATAACATACATATATAGAAATAAGAAGATGTGGTATGAGTGCCAATGAGACAACTCTTCATCCAAGTCACAATGTATAAAAAGTAAACAATTATAGGTCAAAGTACGGCCTTCAACACGGCTCACACCAAACAGCAAGCTATAAAGGGCCCCAAAATGACTAGTGTAAAACAATTCAAACAGGAAAACCAACGGTCTAATCTATATAAAAAACGAGAAACGAGAAACATATATAACCATTTTGTATTAAAATTTGATGAATAAAGTTGTTGTTTTTAGGTGATTCAGTAAGATCTGTTCCTGTTTTGGAGAACAGGAAGCCAGTCACTACCAGAAAAATTGCTGGTACCATTGATGTTATAGGGAGTACAGCTAGAGATTCAAGGCGACCTGATTCTACTGGAGATCCTATTCCGACAACAGGGTAAATAAGGTTTGAAAGCAAGCAGTCACAAAAACTCATTGTGTCCTTTCCATTTTTAAATGACCACAAACAATAATGGTCCATATTACATGGTATAATTTGTCTGTTTCAAGGACTTCTGTCAGTAGACACAAGTTTATTCAGCAATAACTTTAGATATAGTTGGCAGATCTTATGGACATTTTAACACAAAGTTTCTTATCATGAAAGAAATTTAAATTGATTTGGGCATTTTTATGCCAAACATTTTTGGAAAATGATTTTTCATTTTCTTTGATGTACAATTGGATTTTGATGTAGTTTATGTTTGACTTCGTTATAAAAATTTCTATGTGTAAAAGGGCAACAAATATGAGGTTTCATTTCTAGTTTCCTGGATAAAAAGTGTCCTCTTAATATTCCAATATTTTGATTTTTAGTCTGATTCTTAGTCTATAAAATCCTCATGTAAATTCCTAAAAGCATATTACAATCAGATTTGTCTAATGGTTACCCAGTTTTTGGAGGCAGAAAATTACATGCTTACATGGTAGATAGAATTCTAGATTAATTCCATCAGGATTATGGAAACACAGCTATGAGGAGGAAAGTGGTAAAACAAAAACTGTTATATGGTACATTGAATAATACTACTTTGCGAGCCCTAAGTGTGCCAGACTTGATACACAGTTGTTATATTATTAACCTCTTCTCAGTGCTTGTGTTGAAATATTGTGGTAATATCATGCAGTTCTTAACTTTAGGCTGTTATTTTAAGAATGAAAACTGTAACTCAGTCAGTTCATGGTGACATGAAAATAAGATAGACACATCAAGTATATGACTATACTAAAACCATATAATTTTTTCAGGAAATCTTACACAACAGACCCTACAGCAGGAATACCTGGCTTGCCACCAGGGATACCACCCCCAGATTATTCAGTGCCACCTCCAGGATTACCACCACCTGGATACCCTCCTCCTGGTATGTTTATTGGAATCAAAACAATAGGAATTAAATCATCTTCTAACACTGCATTTCATTTTAGTTTAAAGTCTTTGCTTGGGATTCATTGAATATTTGATTTACTTAAAAACAAACTTTTTTTAAAAACATTTTGCATGCATGATAGATTTTGCTTAAATTTTCCAGGAAGAAAATTAAATGTATATCCATTAAAAAAAAATTCCAATAAAATTTATAGCAATCTTACTTATTTTCAAGTAATATGGGGTTTGAAATTTTACAATTTTACAATTTTATAATGATAGTGTACCAGGAAATCAAATTTTGATGTTCATAAAACAAAACTTTATAGGTGGAAATTGATATTTTTTTGGGGATCAAAATTAAAAATAACCTCTTACAGGGAAAAATAAAGTAAAATGGGGTATACTTTCTTGTTTTCTTGCTATTTTACCAAATGTGGAGAAATTGGTTAGTTTGCAATAATTTCCAGTTTAATTATCTCCACCTAAATCGAAAAACCTTTGTTCAAAAGTTTTCTCCCCTGACAAAATCACAGATTCCTTGTCAGCAATTACTTTGTTTTTTTACTAAATGATTTGAAAATTTGCGAACTTAATATACAAATCTGAGAATTTATTATTATGTTTTTTGAAATGCACTTGATTCAAAAATTTTATCTTATTCTGTATGATAAATATTTGAATATGTATTTTTAGCTCCCCATTCCCAAATGCCCAAACTTAACCATAAAAAAACCCTTAAATGTTTGGTAAATTCCACATAAATTTTAACTCAAAATTTTGTAAATAATGAAACAAAAAGAAAATGTATCTGCCTATATGACTTAATTGTTCTATAGATTTTCCTTTATAAAGGTTTTGTACATATCATTTTAGGTGTTCCTTTAACTAGTGTTCCACCTCCAGGAGCCATACCTGGCTATGAACGTAAGTATACTTTACATTTTTCAACATTAATTACACAAACTGCTTTAGAAATAGCTTATTTATGGAAAAAAATGATAAATCAGATTTTCATACTACTGCTAGAAGATACATAATAAACTCAATTGTATGAAAAAGATACAGATGTCATTAAATAATGTATTATCCAATTAACCTGACCTGGTTGAATATGACTTTAATATGGAGATCATGATTTAGCATGACTTAAATAACAATGTAATGGAGATGTGCTTTATTCAGAAAATTAGTGATACTATTTTCAATGATCTAAAAACATCAATATAAAATGTTTCTGCGTATTAAATGGTAGTGACCTACAGATTGCCTTTAAAGAAATCAATGATCTGTTCTAGAAATTATAGTCATCATGCCTTATCAGGTGAAATTTACAAAGAGAACTATTTTAAAGTAGATCTTAAAAGAAAGAAAAAGATTAAAGAAAACTGAATATCTTAATAAAAATGAACTTTTACTTTGTTTCAGATTACTATCCACCACCAGCAACCAGGTTTGTAAATTTTATCTGTTGATGGAGCATGATTACTAACTCACACTTTTTTTTAATTTTTACCAAAATCATAGTGATATAGAGATAAGACAATAACAAGTGGATATATATTATTTTGTGCTTGGAACATTTATTTGCATAGTTTAGATTAACTTTGTTTGCATAGTAAAGGGTTTTTAAGGTTGCCTGTGTTTTAGAGTTGACATATAGGGATCATTTTGCTTCATAGTCACAATCTTTCAATTCTCACTCTTGTTAATCTGTAACCATTCAATGTTGAATATCAAAACCTGCTTATTTTTCTAAATTTTGTGAATAAAAACACAGCCAGGAACACCAAGAAAGATAACTTTTGACTGTAAAAATTTCAGGGCTTTTCATATAACAAGCAATGGGAACTTCATTGACCTTATCATGTAAAAATTTCAGGGCTTTTCATATAACAAGCAATGGGAACTTCATTGACCTTATCATATATTTCTGATAGTTTTCCTCACCTACTCACATATTTTCAAGCTGGAGAATGTGACCTATTCCAGCAGCATGTCCTATCACCTTGTATATAGGAAGTGGTCCCCCTGGGGCATCTTCCCATCCATCACATTTTCATTGGTTCTTAAATAATACGATTGAAATTAATCTGATTCAGATAACTTTTTAAATGAAGTCTGGTATGAAAACTAGTTCTAAATGTTTTCAATTTTAAAAGTTTATCACATTGATTCCAAGGTTTTTAAAACTAATGTTATGTTTTTAGTGTTGTAAAGCTATCGGCAACTTTTGTTATACCACTTGAATTTAAAGTTGCACAGACAATTTTGCAGGAAAAAAGTTTTTGTTCCTTGTATATTAATTTCTAATTGTCTTTAATAGGTTTTAAATAGCTAAACACGAAAGGCAGGCTTGGAGGATTCACATCTATGTTTATTAACTTGCTTACTAATAAATTAACCACAGGTTTTCATATTTACTGAAATTAACATTTAATATTGTTACTAACAAAACTCTGCATAATGTTTATACCCATACTGGTGAGAGGGCATGCAAACTTACTTGTTATATTTACCTTACAGAAAGTCTAGAAGGTGAGATAAATACAAGTTTTTTTTTTACTGAAAAAAAAAGAAAACAGTTTTTCATATTCCAAGAAATGAAGTAAATAATAAAAAGTATCATTGATAAAGGATGTTATGTTAGGTAACAAAGTCTTCAATGTGATGGTTGCATGTGTAGTAGCTCTGTATGTTTGGACAAGGTATTGATGGCATGTTAGTTATTACTATGTAAATAACATCCATTTTTCGTTCCTTTGAATGATTTTTATACTGAAACAGACATATTTTTAACTTCCTACAAGTTAAATGAAGTTAACTTGTCTTAAGCTGTAGGCAACTGAAATTAATGGGTGTGAACTGAATTAGCAAGGTGAAAACTACTGAATGAAAATTACTTGTGAAAAAAAAAAAAAATTAACTAAATGTTTACAGAATTCAATACAGTAAAACTGATGAAAATATTTTATAAAATAATTGGGTAAAGGAATGCACGTTACATTAAGATATGCATAATTTGCTTAGTGGAGAACAGTTCAAACCAGCATATTTTAGAGTTGCTATTATTATAGTTGGTGTAGGTCAGTCAGTATGTTAATAACTTGATATTGAAAGCTTGGATTATATATTTGCCCGTCAGTAGATGTACCATCAGTGCCTTAAAGCATTAAACAACAATTAACTTATTAATATCCTTGTTATGGAATAACTTTAGCAATCTGCATATTTCTATAAAATGTTCCCTTCAGAAAATAGAAGCATCAACACAGTTATGAAGATTCTTAAAAATATTTGATATATATATATAGAATAAAATGTTATGGAAAAACCTTAAGCATCACAATTTTGACTATGACATGTATTTGGTAAAACTAGATTTTAGGAATAACAATACTGTAGTTGAAGAGTTGACACCGTCATTTGATGATTTGATAGTTGCAAATGCAGTTTTACTGGCAACTTGTAGGGGAGCCTGTAAATTGGATATGAGAACACAGATGTTATTCATTATTCCAGCTTTCATTTTCATGTAGGGAGGAAGTGTCAAAATACAGATTCTTGACAAAATTCCCAAAGCAATTTTTCATGGCATATAAATTTTCCCTTATACAGTATGTTAAAAGCTTCTAATTATTTGCCAAACCAGTTTTGAGGCAATCTACTTGTAAAATTCTAAATTTACTCTGCTCTAGGAACAAATATTTAACTACTATCTAAATCATATCTTTTGTTCTTTCAGATTTGATGAAAGAGGATCTAGTTACTATGATTCACAGGCATATGGGGCAGCTTATAATGATTCACATTCTGCTTGGGATAACAGGTAAAATAATGTATATTACATACCAAATGATACATGTAACACATTGTTTTAGTGATAAGTTAGTTTATATAGCATATCAACTCATTCAGTTAAAGATAATTTTGCTGGGGAATTCTTAACAGTTAATTTTGTGTGATTTACAATAAATTTCTTCATATATATTTCATAAAAGGTCATATATACCTGAAATATTTATACACAGGGTATTTCTTCTTAAAGTTACTTGGGATAACTAGCATTCATAATGATACTTTTATACTGTGGATTCATTTATTTTCTTGGGTACCAATTTTTGTGGATTAAGGAAAACTTACATTTGCGTGGATATTTCATTTCATGGTTTTGCCAAAGTCTACATACAAACCTATAGAAAAGTTGTCATTCATTGAACATCTAATTTCGTGGTTCACCCATACCCATGAAATCCACAAAAATTGGTATCCAATAAATAACAATGAATCCACAGTGTTACCTTTTTTTCACATTGAAAAATAAAGAATATTAGTTTAGGGATTCATTTTATTTTCAATATATTGAAATGAGAGATGATTGGAAATTACAGAGACAACTGTTGATAACTCTTAGCTTAAATTCATACCAGCTTGAATAATTTTTGACTGAATAAAACTATGTATACTAAATATTCAAGAAACTGTTGTATTTATGCACATTTATATTTAAATATTGCACATTGTGTGGAAAATGTATGGATTAATTTCAAGCTTCCCATGCACAATAACACTCTATAAGTTTGGTGTATCTGAAGTCATCAGGAATGATCAAAACAAAACATTTGAAAGCAGCTGATTTATAAATACTTGAGCTATAGCATGTATAGTACCAAGCTGGTCATGTAGAATACTGCTAACAGTTGCTATGACAGTACAGTCTCTTCCTAAAGTCGTTAGATGAAAGGGAAAATGTCATGTTTCCAGTTACTTAACCAATCATCTCATATTACCCAAACTAAAAATTTCTTTATTGCTAATATTTAAAAACTCTTCTTCTTTTTCCCATACCATGTTTGACATAAAACTGCCGAATTAAAATATGACAACAAATTAAAGTGCTCAGCCTTTATCTGTGCTTTATAATTTAATAAATTACCCCATGCATTCTCAAGTTTGTATAGACTAGAAACAGGAAATATCTTATAACCATGAAAGTAAGCCGTATGATACTAGTTCCTCTTTGAACTGCATAATAAAGAACCATTCACTTGATGAAGAGTGCGAATAGATTTCTTTCTCAACTGCTTCTTTGTAGTCTCACACTTTTTCTCACTCTTTACTCCTATTTAAGATTTGGTTTTGTTTTTTGTTTTATATGTTAAAGATGTTCTTGTTTTTCTGAATGATTTTATCACAATAGGCTTTTTCTAAATGTAAATGTATATTTTCATTTATCTTCAAATTGAAACGAAATTCCCATTTTGAAAATGAAAGCAACTACTGATAGTCTGTCACTAAAATTAATGGAAAATCATTTTTGAGTTAGCTGTATAGTGGGCAATCTGACAGAACAATTTAATTTCTAATTCCTATGATATTTATATTTTATTTTTATGGCTAAAATAGAACTTGTTTTAGAACAAATTCATGATTCATATTCAGTTGCATACTCTTTTTAATATAATACATTTCACCTTTAATTGCCAACATATTTTGTAAAAAGCCTCTTCTCTTAAAGTATAAACAGTTAGTATATGTTACAAAAGCACTTAGCTAAAAATATTATGCAAGTTAATCACAATATTTTATATAAAGTAATGTGAATTTTCTTCCAGGATGTTCCCTACTTCTCCTTACTAGGCCCATGAAAATATAAGTCACACCTCCCTGTTATTCTGGAGTAACATGATCCCTGAGTATTAGTTGCGAACTTAATATACATAAAATCCACTGATTTAAAAAGTTTGAAATCCACAAATCAATAATTTAATAAAAGAAATAAAAAAATAAGTAATATTTCCATATGTTAGAATCAGCTTTTTCACAATATGCTCTGAATAGATTCTGACTCTGGATTTCAACATTTATATATTATCGTTCATGATATAAATGAAAAAATACAGAACTTTACACACTTTTTCTATCAAAAAGATTATTTTGATTTTTGAGCAGAAAGAAAAAGTAAGTAAACAATTAAGCCTGTTTAGTCTCTGTAGAACCTTGACATATTGTTGTCAAATCTGTGCATGATGGTAAACAAGAATATAAACTTCCGTTAAAAGTGGTGTTGGTTACAGTGGCATGTAGCATATCCCAAAGTGTATATCGCCTATTTCAGCTATTTCACAGCATTGCTTTATATAATTGGGTATGGTGTTGTATAGTTTGTCACATCATTCTTTAGTCATGTTATTATGAAAAAAATGTTGATTTTCAGATGAAATTAGATGTATCGGAACGACACAAATGGCCTCGCTCACGAAAAAACCTTGAAGCTATTTTAAGGAGTGGAAATTTGAGAATGAAAGTCTGTACAACTGTTATTTTCACAAAATGTTTAAAGTCCAAAGCCTGTTTGTTTTTGCAAAAATAAAAAGAGCTGAACCAAACATAAACTTGATCTGTAACTCATCATAGTAGACCCATTGGTGGCCTTGGGCTGTTTTCTGTTCTTTTGTTGAAATGTTGTCTCTTTGACGCATTCCCCATTTCCATTTTCAATTTTATCAGATACTAAAAGTTTGCTCAATATGTGAAGGTGTTCGGAAAAAAAGTCCGTATAACTGCTATTTTCATGAAATTTTCAAAGTCCAAAGATTGTAATTTCGGCAAAAATCAGCAGAGTGAAACCAAACATAGTTTCGATCTGTAACTCATCATAGTTGACTCACATACTAAAAATCAGCTCAATATGTAAAGGCGTTTTAAAAAAAAAAGTCCATATAACTGTCCTTTGCAGAATGATAGATAAGGGTAAAATCAAGGCTTCTAAAATGGTCATATTTGCCAGACAACTGGGCCAGGAATGAAACAGTTATCCTACGTGGGTTTGCCATTTCAACGTTCATGTAATTCAGAAAAATCAACCATTTTGATTTGACCTTTTGCCATTTACAGCCACACTTTTCCAGTCATAAAAGTGACAGTTCTCTATAAACCAGCCTACTATAATCCCCTCTAATTACAATCTAGGTTAATTAAGTGTCTAACAGGTGAGATTTACCTGTGATCACCTGTGTCAGGTAAACTATTTGTACTGGACATCAATCAATCTTTTTGGAAGTTATTTTTTTATTAGAATTAAAAACATTCCTAGTTTAAATCTTACTAATTTTTAGCAAAACAGATTAAGACTATCAGAAAAACGTATTTAAAACGATAAGATCATAATTTACAAAGGTGGTAAAAAAGTTTAACAGACAGAACCACGTCGATTGAAATATTAGAAATGTGCGCATGTGCACAAGTGTGATTTTTATTATTTAATAATGTGTCTAAATTCATCCGAAACGATAAAATGTCTTTTATACCATTATCTTACGTTCATCTCAGGTATTTCCCTAAGAAATAACGTGGAAAGAACTGCTTAAACTCAATAATGCTAGATAAAAATACACCGATTTTGTACAACCGTCCCCGTTCCGTGTTCTATCGTCTAGTAAATATCTGGTATTGGAAAACATAATTATCAAATAACTAAGCTGGTCCTTGACTGACTAATACACTATGTTAAGTGTGTGGATATATGCCAATCCGAACCATACACTATCAATGTAATTGTTAATGTCAAAAATGGAATTTATATAAAAACTGAAAAAGTATGAAGTCTATGTAGTTTAATGATTGTGTGATTTATGATGCACTTTGTAAGGCAGCAATTTGTGTTGATAAAAACCATGCATGATTTGTAATTAATGCAAATTTTGGTGTATAAGCTTGATGAAGATATGTAAGAGTAAACAAATATGTTTAAAGTTTCAGTACAATAAAACAACTACATTTATTTTTACATTTTTTTATATTGACATTAAAGAATATAGACAGACAGGGATCTTGGCAAAAGATTACTTACTGTAAATTCAGAAATTATTGCAAGATTTTTGTTTAAAAAAATGTGACTGGGTGAGTATCGAAAAAATAAGAACTCGTATTCTGATATCTGATAGATATATCTTAATACACCTTTTCACGAAATCACAATAATAAATCTCGCATTTTTGTCCATTCTTCAAAAATCGGAATAATAAATGCACACAATAATTTCTGAATTTACAATATCTAAAATCTATACTTCCCCCTTCCAACACCACAAACATAGACGATGAACACACAAGGTAAAAGTAAGAAATAGGAAAATTGTTTGCCTTTGCAAAGCTGATGGGGGACTGTGATGTTCACATGGATATTTTCTTGCTTGGCTACAGTCAATTCTCAGAAACTTTGATTGATATTTAGTTATATAATTAAATGTGCTGGTGCATCTTGGAGAGTGATGTTTTTGTGACTCTACCCATGATACATGATCATCTAGAATAACAGGCTCTTATCAAAACTAGATGACTCTGACCAACATTTTTCTATTCATGGCAAAGTAATAAAATTTTTACTCTTGTTTTCTTATACCAAGTGATATACAGCCATTTAACATGGCGAAATGATGCATTTAAACATGTTAAAAGAGCATTAAATTCCACAACCAGATTTCTTTTCATATAACTTGATTTGAGGATATGTCTGAAGAATTTGAAAAAGATGTAATTCCAATTCTCCAGACCAACCTCAAATCAAGTTATATGAAAAAGGAGGTTGCATAATATCATGGAACTTGCAATTGATATGAAGATGTATCCAGGCAGGGGAGTCAAATCAAAGGAGACACTGTGTCCTATATTTGATGCATCATTGACTTATGTTATATATCCCAATTCAGTGCTCAGAGGAAACTTTTATAATGACCAAATAATGGAACTTGGTGTGGTGACAAAAATATGTGAGCATCATGAATTCTTGTTTTTGATAAATTTTGACTAAATGACCTAATATAATTATAACATAGTTAATTTCTCAGATACCATTTGACATGTTTGCAATACAGTCATGAAATAGGTATTAAAATTTTGTTGCATGTGTTGGTTGCTTGCTGCTTAAAAATTCCATTAAAAAATATTCATGATGGCACACGTTCTGTCCTTTTTATACGACCGCAAAAAAATTTTTGTGGTCGTATATTGGTATGACCTTGGCGTCGTCGTCGTCGTCACCGTCTGGCGTCGTCCGAAGACACATTGGTTTTCGCACTCTAACTTTAGTTTAAGTGAATGGATCTCTATGAAATTTTACCACTAGGTTCAATACCACAAAAGGAAGGTTGGGATTGATTTTGGGGGTTATGGTACCAACAGTAAAGGAGTTAGAGGCCAAAAAGGGGCCAAAAATAAGCATTTTTGTATCTTCCAGACATAACTTGTGTGTTAGTGTATGGATCTCTCTGACATTGTACCACAAGGTTCCATATCACAAAAGGAATGCTGGGATTGATTTTGGGGGTAATTGCCTCAAAATTTTAGGAATTAGGGGCAAAAAAAGGGGCAAAAAACAAGCATTTTTCTAGTTTCATGACAATAACTTGTGTGTAAGTGTATGGATCTTTCTGAAATTGTACTACAAGGTTCCATATCACAAAGGGAAAGCTGGAGTTTGGGGGTAATTGCCGAAACATTTAGGAATTGGGGGCCAAAAAGGGGCCAAAAATAAGCATTTTTCTAGTTTCCAGACAATAACTTGTGTTCAAGTGTATGGATCTCTCTGAAATTGTACTGCAAGGTACCATACCTCAAAGGGAAGGCTGGGATTGATAATGGGGGGTAATTGCCTCAATATTTTAGGAATTAGGGGCCAAAAAGGGGCAAAAAACAAGCATTTTTCTAGTTTCAGGACAATAACTTGTGTGTAAGTGTATGGATCTCTCTGAAATTGTACTACAAGGTACCATACCACAAAGGGAAGGCTGGGATTGATGATGGGGGTAATTGCCTCAATATTTTAGGAATTTGGGGCCAAAAAGGGGCAAAAAAACACATTTTTCTAGTTTCCAGACAATAACTTGTGTTCAAGTGTATGGATCTCTCTGAAATTGTACTGCAAGGTACCATACCACAAAGGGAAGGCTGGGATTGAGTTTGGGGGTGTTGAATCATAAGGGGGGGGGATTTTTTTTTTTTTTTCTTTTTTTTTCTTTTTTTCCTTTTTTTTTTCTTTTAAAATTTTCCATTTTAAGTTGGTTATTTCTGATTTATATTTAAAAGCAAATAATAATGATATGGTAGGAGATACACACCAAACAGGATGTGTAAATTATTATATAATAAGTATTGTGCAATAGCAAGAAATTTTCAATTGCACAGTATTGCACAATAGCAAGAAATCTTCAATTGCACAGTATTGCGCAATAGCAAGAAATCTTCAATTGCACAGTATTGCGCAATAGCAAGAAATATCCAATAGCACAATATTGCGCAATAGCAAGAAATTGTCAATTGTACAGTATTGCGCAATAGCAAGAAATATTTAATTGCACAGTATTGTACAAAAGAAGATACTTCGTATAAATTGCTTATTTCTTGACCAATTTCAATGGGGTTTTATTCTTGAATTCTTTGGGTTCTTTAATATCCTGTTTCTAACCGTGTATTTAGTTTTTGGATTTTGGGCCCCGTTTTTAAATTGGTCCACATTGAGGTCCAAAGGGTCCAAAATTAAACTTTGTTTGATTTCATCAAAAATTGAATTATTGGGGTTCTTTGATATGCCGAATCTAACCGTGTATTTAGATTCTTAATTTTTGGTTCCGTTTTCAAATTGGTCTACATTAAGGTCCAAAGGGTCCAAAATTAAACTTAGTTTGATTTTAACAAAAATTGAATTCTTAGGGTTCTTTGATATGCTGAATCTAAACATGTATTTAGATTTTTGATTATGGGCCCAGTTTTCAAGTTGGTCCAAAACGGGGACCAAAATTAAACTTTGTTTGATTTCAACAAAAATTGAATATATGGGGTTCTTTGATATGCTGAATCTAACCATGTATTTAGATTTTTGATTTTTGGGCCCCGTTATCAACTTTGTCCACATTGAGGTCAAAAGGGTCCAAAATTAAACTTTGTTTGATTTCATCAAAAATTGAATTCTTGGGGTTCTTTGATATGCTGAATCTAACCATGTATTTAGATTATGGATATTGGACCATTATAGGTGAATGTCCAATTTAAAATTTTTAAGTTCTTAGACCACATTCATTCTGTGTCAGAAACCTATGCTGTGTCAAATATTTAATCACAATCCAAATGCAAAGCTGTATCAAGCTTGAATGTTGTGTCCATACTTGCCCCAACTGTTCAGGGTTCGACCTCTGCGGTCGTATCAAGCTGCGCCCTGCGGAGCATTTTATTAATGTTGGATTTGAAGTTTATTTCCATGACAGTTTTATTACTTATTTGGGAAAACAAGAGAAAATTCGTAATTTGTAATCATTGATGTCTCATGTTTTCATTTAGCTGAAGTTAAATGAAGATAGCTGACAATATTTGAATGCTGTGTTTAATATATTTTTACATGTAAATTACTTCCAATTGATCAATTCCAGAATATTTTTATTGCACACTTTAAATAATTGCAAGAGAGATTGTTCTTATTGATAATAGTTTATCCAACCAATCATTTGGGAGAATTGATTTGAAAATTACTTTTGAAAAAAAACATTATATTTTGTGATTGAAGTTATTGAGTATTTTACAGGGGTACTGGTTACAGATGGGATTCTGGTCGTGAAAGGAGCCCAGCTAGGTCTGAGTCCGATTTCAGCAGGTAATTTAGTATAACTTGATGCACCCTGAATAAGATACTAAAATTTATTCAGAAGGGATGCATTTTTTATGTACTTTTCTTGCTTTGTTTAAAATATAACAGTCAAAGTATGGTAAACTATTCTTGTTAATTTGGTGAAGGAAAACTTAGTACTGATCAGTGTAAATGAATTGCTGCATATTGTGTTTTGTTTGCGACTTATTCATTGTTACATATATAAGGTTCCTAAGGGAATATCTGTGTAAAGATGAAGAAATAATAACTGGGAAGACAATATAAACTGATGGATGCAAAATCAGGGTCAACAAGTTAATATTTCAACCATATTGAAAGGGGAACATCTTAATGTAAAAATAAAGAGATGTGTTATGAATGCAAATGATACAACTATTCATAAAAGATCAAAGATGTGAACAATTACAGCTCATCGTATAACCTTCAACAATGAGCAAAACTCATACCATATAGTAAGCTGTAAAAGTTCCTGGTTAACAAAATTCATTAGATAAAACCAACAGCCTGATTTATATTATGACTGTCAGTTCAACATTATTTACTCCTAATTGCAATTGCTACATACTAAACAGGAGTACTACTTTTTAAAGCCTTTAATTTGACCTGGTTTTTAGTCAAATCTACGTTCTCTAGGTCTCAAGACTAACACTCTGTCACAAGACCCCCCCAAAAAAAACTGTCAGTTTACTTTGATGAAAGAAACTATAATTTGATGTTAAGATTTTTTTTAAGGACTCCAATATGGAGATTAAAACACATAAAAGTAATAACAGTTTTTAGCCGTAAAAATAACAACATTTTCAATTTGAGTCATGTTTCCTCACATAGAATATCTCCTACACAGTGATAAGAGTCCCATTATGCCAAAAATTGAAGTATTACTAAATGAGATGGGTTTTTTGTCGAGCCTGTGACTTTTGTCGCAAAAGCGAGACATAGCGATCCTACATTCCGTCGGTGGCGGCAGCGGCGTCCACAAATATTCACTCTGGTTAAAGTTTTTGAAATTTTAATAACTTTCTTAAAATATCCTGGATTTCTACCAAACTTGGACAGAAGCTTGTTTATGATCATAAGATAGTATCCAGAAGTAAATTTTGTAAAAGAAAAATCCTGTTTATCCGTATTTTACTTATAAATGGACTTAGTTTTTCTGCCAGTTAACATTACATTCACTCTGTGATTAAAGTTTTTTAAATTTTAATAACTTTCTTAAAATATCCTGGATTTCTACCAAACTTGGACAGAAGCTTGTTTATGATCATAAGATAGTATCCAGAAGTAAATTTTGTAAAAAGAAAAATCCTGTTTATCCGTATTTTACTTATAAATGGACTTAGTTTTTCTGCCAGTTAACATAACATTCACTCTGCGGTTAAAGTTTTAAAAATTTTAATAACTTTCTTAAAATATCCTGGATTTGTACCAAACTTGGACAGAAGCTTGTTTATGATCAAAAGCTAGTATCTAGAAGGAAATTTTGTAAAAATGTATTTCCAGTTTTTCCGTATATTACTTATAAATGGACTTAGTTTTTCTTCCAGTTAAATACATACAGTCTGCAGTTAAAGTTTTTAAAACATTTATTAGATTCATAAACCATCCTGGATTTTTACCAAACTTGGACAGAAGCTTCTTACAATCAAAAGATAGTATCTAAAGGAAAATTTTTCATAATTTTTTCCCCATTTTTGTTGAGCCTGCGACTTTTGTCTTCCAGACAAACTATAGATTTGATTGCATACTGTATTCATTTTTTACAAGCATAACTTTTTTCATACATTTCAAACGTTTTATTTCATTCTGTAAATCTATTATGTGCATTCCCCTATCACACTGAAAACATAGACTACAGCAAAAGTAGGCGAGACACTGGGTTCCGCTTACGATTTTTTTCATAAAGATAATTGAAAAGTATTTGGAAATTTAGACAGTTAGGTCTTTCAAATATTATTATGAATATCACAGAGATATTACAGGTGAAAGAAAGCCTAAATTTATTTTCTCTATAAAAATGAAAATGAGACTTTTACATGACAACAACACATAATGTAAAATCATGGATTGTAAACTACATGTTTTTCAATTTATGTTATCTCAACTTTCAAACAGACATAAATATGATAAAGGAAGGAAATCTAAAATTTAAAGATCAAATTTCAGTAAAAAATTAGGCTAAATAAGGTCTCGCTCTGTCCTTTCCTTATGAACTGCATGTATTTTTAATAGTAATGAGTAATTCAAAACCCCAATTTACAGCAATGGGTTTACATTGATCATTTTGATTCATTAGCCTATTTAATGTGGATTCCTGAGAGTATCTATATTTCCTGTTTCTTTTATCTATTTCCTATCATTTTACCAATAACTTAAGTACAAAGTTTCTGTTACTGTTAATAGAATAATATTGTGAGAAAACATTAATAATAACCATATGTTTTGTATCTACATGTATAAAGACTTTTGGGACCTATTCACTGTTTCAGTATCTAAAGGGATTAAGGGTAATTTATTGTTTGTTCCTTTGGCGATAACATTATGCCATTGTTTGGACATCCATTCAATAGGATATTGTTTACCATACAATGATTTGGAGTACATGGTGGATGTTTTTGAAAAAACTAACCAAAATACAATGATTCTGAAATAGTGAATTATGGTGGCTAACTTGGAGACTTGAAAATATTCAAGCCAGCCAAGATAGATATTATAGGTATAGGTAGAAATCATTGGAAAAACTATTGTGGAAAATCATTTTTGAATAATTTATCTGACAAGATTTGGTATACAGAGTTCCTTTTTGGGGTCCAATCTACTTACTGTGAATAAACTAATCTGTTTTCGATCAATTTTCATGGATTGAGGCAAAATTGCATACAAACCTATAGAAAATTAGTACTTTGTTCAACCATTAAATTCGTGGTTATTCTATACCAATGAAATCCCCAAAATTGGTATTCCAAGAATATGCAATGAATCCATAGTAAGCATTTAGAAAATTGTGGCTTTGATGGTGATAAAATGTCCATGATGTGCATGTTTATGAATGTATTACAATTACAATTGGATTCAACAAGATAACAACACTCTATGATTGCAGTTCAGGAAGTGAAAGAGATTTCAGATACAGAGATCGGAGATATGATAGAGATCGAGATCGAGATAGGGACAGGTAATTGTCTTTTGGAATACTCTTAAGGAAAGGGCACTTGCTATCAGGACTTAATTGATATAAATGACATAAATGTTGGGCAAAATACTTGTGGTGAAGTCAAAATTATAACTTTTGCTAAAGATATTGTAAACATTTCAGATGCAAAAAGTAAATATATAATTTAATAAGTTATTAGTAAGATTGATTTTGTTTTCAAGGATTCATCACTAATTTTATTTTCTCACACAATGCTTTTATGGCTAATAAAATGGTTACTGCTTCAAAGTATTTACATACAAATAAAACTAGTGGTGTAATTGAAACCAAGTCACTGCTTTTGGCTCCTGCAACAAGTATATTCTAGGCCTAGAAACATCATGCATTGAAAAACTCTGGGAATTTGTTTTATATTAGAAATTACTTAAAGACATGATTTATTATTTTCAGGAGTCCATTTAGAAGAGAACGAGACCGTTACAGTAATAGAGACCGTGAAAGGGACAGAGACCGTGATAGGGACAGGGACCGGGATAGAGAAAGGGACCGTGATCGTGACAGGGAAAGGGACCGCTACAGAGAAAGAGACACATCAAGAACTAGAGAAGGTTCTAAAGATGTCAGGATTAAGGAAGAAAAACATCATAAATCTAGTAGAAGGTTAGTTTAGTTTAATTCTTATAAAAAAGAAGGAAATGACGTAAAATCTAATATATTTGAATTTTGATAAAAAAAAAATGTTGATTTTCAAAATCAGTTTTCAACAATAACAAAGATGTTTTAAAGTGTTTCAAATGGATAAACAAGTTTGTAATGGATGATTTTATGCATATTATTGTTAGTATTAGTAAACCTAAATATTATAGATAAAATAGTTATATAATGACATTTTCCTGAAAATAAATGGAAGAGGAATAGGATTGATTGATTGTTGGCATTTAATGCTGCTTTCAGCACAGCTGGCTATATCATGACACCAGTTAAATTGGAGGAGGAAGCTGGAATACTGGGAGAAAATCACCAAAGACCTGAGACAGTGTAACTGGCAATCCAAGTCAATTAAGATCATAATTGAACTCACTTTGCGTCAAGAGGGATTTAAACCTAATGGTTTTCAAGCTTGTTGACAATTGTTTTCCATTCGTTTGATGTGTTTGAGCTTTTGATTTTGCCATTTGATCAAGGACTTTCTGTTATGAATTTTCCTTGGAGTTCGGTATTTTTGCTATTCTACTTTTTGTTACCATTTTAGATGAACAACTTACACCATTCTGCAACCATGGCCCCTTTAGGAATAGGAAGTTTACAGTTTCATTCGCATATTCATTTCAAGACAATTATTTTGAAATATTCAGCTTTTTAAAACTTCAAGGTGGTTGTAAAAAAAAAGATGGAATGTTTGAAATATTAAAGTAAGATATTGTGAGTACATTAAATTGTATTTTATTTTTACAGGAAAAAGGATGATGAAGATTCTGATCACCATAAAACTAAACATAAAAAGAAGAAGATTAAGAAAGAGAAGGATGATGATGATCAGTATCCTCCAGTTCTTACGCAGGAGATGCCTCAAGTCAAATCAGAACCTTCATCATGATCTTCTTTGTCTAATATCATTGTGTCATATTGTCATGTCGTTAATAAATGATGTATATATAATATTGTGTATTGATCAATTTTAGAGATATAAGTAATTGGCATTTACTGCAGTTTTGATATGCTGAAAGTTTCTGATGTGGAATTTTAAGAAATATTCTTTTAAAATTGTTAAATCCATTACAAAGATAAAATATTGGAAGTATCGTTTGTCAGGACCAGAGAAAACATTGTTACATCGGTTACAACAGCTAAGCAGTGTTGCTAGAGACATTTAATATAATCCATAGAATAGAAAAAAAACAACATTTTAATAACAGCTCTTCCTAGAGATATTAAACTAGACACTATAGAAAAAAATTCTATTTTAAAAACCAGCTGTATTACATTTAACTTAATAGACAGTTATTTCCTTGCAAGGATCTAAAGGGTGTCACTCTTGATCTGTTTGGCAACAAATGTATTGCCATGATGTAGTGTGGATTCATTTATTAGTCCCCTACCGACGAAGTCTGTCCGTCCGTCTGTCCATCCGTCAGTCTGGCAACTCAGCTTTCCACACTTTTTTTCTTCGTTCTTGAAGATATTGATTTGATATTTGGTATATAGTTTTATCATGACAAGTTAATAGATCAAGTTCGAATTTTGTTCCGGTCTGATGATTTAGTCCAGAGTAATGGTCCATGAAAAAACTCCATAACTAATGTTAAAGTACTATGTGAAACCATATAATCTGTACAAAGGGAGATAACTCATTTTTTAAAAGACATTCTTTGGTAAATTGTTTGAGGAATTTTGTGGCAGGTTTATATGTTATTTTGTATAAACTAATTTTCTGAATGCTACATGTATATATATATATATATATATTTTTATTAAGTGAAATCCTTTAATTAGATAATAATCTATTTTTATTAAGTAGATATAGGAAGATGTGGTATGAGTGCCAATGAGACAACTCTCCAACCAAGTCACAATTCACAAAAGTAAACCATAATCGGTCAAGGTACGGCCTTCAACACGGAGCATTTGCTCACACCGAACAGCAAGCTATAAAGGGCCCCAAAAAACCACCAGTGTAAAACCATTCAAACGGAAAAACCAATGGTCCAATCTATATAAAAACGAGAAACGAGAAACACGTATGAACTACATAAACAGACGACAACTACTGTAATCAGATTCCTGACTTAGGACAGGTGCAAACATTTGCAGCGGGATTGAACGTTTTAATGGTAGCAAACCTTCTCCCTTTTCTGAAACAATAGTGTAACATCACAACATAGAAAAACACACTATAAAATATCAATTTGAAGGCTACTCAATCAAAAAACGTAAATTAACACACAATGAACGAATAAATTTGACCTGTGACACCTGAATGCAAATACACAGTTAATAAAATATTACAAGGGATAAATAATTAAAGTCAAAAGTAAATAAACAGGTTTAAACAAAGTTAAAGTATGATATCGCTGTGAAATTTCAAACAATTAAGGTATATATTTCATTACATTACATTGTGTAGATAAAAGTTGTTGACATTTTATAGGTAAGTTACAAATCTATATTAGTTTGTGACAAATGAAAGAAAAAGTATTTGGAACTATTAATTATATTTGATTGTAATTTGAAAACAGATATACATTGTATTACATCATATCTAATTTTAGAGAACTATTAATCATATCTAATGTTAGAGTGTTATAGGTTTTCCACACTTTTTTTCATCATGCTTGAAGATATTGATTGACAATTGGTAAATAGTTTAATCATGACAAGTTACAGATCAAGTTCAAATTTTTGTTTCGGTCTGATAATTTTGTGCAGAGTTATGTTCCTTGGACTTGAAAAAATTCACTCATATATTCAGTTTTCCACTGTTTTTAGTCATGCTTGAAGATATTGACTTGATATTTTCTTTTTGTTTACACCATGACAAGTTATAGAACAAGTTAGCATTTTGTTCCAGTATAATGAATTTTTACCCGGTAGGGGACTATGTATTGCCATGCAATACTCTCAGAATGCTTGTTTTCTTTGATACCAAATTTTGTGTATTGAGGAAAAATTGTGTTTTCGTGGATATTTGATTTCATAGTTTTGCCAACGTCTGCATACAGACCTATAGATAATTTGTTTTTCTTTGATTATTTAAATTCCTGGTTAATTTATATCGACCCAATCCCCTAAAAATTGGTATCCCACGAATAATAATGAATCCACAGTATTCATTTTTGTGTTGATATAACTTTCAAAATCTGTTATTTGTTCTTAATATAACAGATATTCTGTGATGACCTTTCCAATAGTTGTTTCCTGAGTTATGATTACCCAGCTATATTACAGTTGGTTGCCAATATTTTTGCTTGCTGTATAACAATAAAATCCTTATAGAAAACATGTTTTAAATAGACAATTAGGAAAAACAACTTTGCCTATATGTGACCCGCCACAACAGTTCCAGGCTTATCTTCAAAAGTGATGATTTTCTATAAATTGTTTGAAATTTCACAGTGATATCATACTTTTAACTTTGTTTAAACCTGTTTATTTACTTTTGACTTTAATTATTTATCCCTTGTAATTTTTTATTACTGTTTATTTGCATTCAGGTGTCACAGGTCAAATTTATTCATTCATTGTGTGTTAATTTACGTTTTTTGATTGAGTTAAGCCTTCCAATTGATATTTTATAGTGTGTTTTTCTATGTTGTGATGTTATACTATTGTTTCAGAAAAGGGCAAAGATTTGGTACCATTAAAACGTTTTATCCCGCTGCAAATATTTGCACCTGTCCTAAGTCAGGAATCTGATTACAGTAGTTGTCGTCTGTTTATGTAGTTCATACGTGTTTCTCGTTTCTCGTTTTTATATAGATTAGACCGTTGGTTTTTCAGTTTGAGTGGTTTTACACTAGTATTTTTTTGGGGCCCTTTATAGCTTGCTGTTCGGTGTGAGCCAATGCTCCGTGTTGAAGGCCGTACCTTGACCTATAATTGTTTACTTTTATAAATTGTAACTTGGATGGAGAGTTGTCTCATTGGCACTCATACCACATCTTCCTATATCTAATTATGGCGGTAAACGTGTTTATATTTCCTCTAATTTATTACCAATACAGATTACAGCATGAGCATTAAGTTTTTGGAGTGAATCTAATTGTTTCACATTGAAAGGGAAAATATGAACATATGTATGGACATATACTGGTACATATAAATCAAGCATATGCCTGCCCATTAGGATCCAAATAGTGTCGCATCCCGTGTTCGTTACTAGGTTTTATTTTATCTATGCCTGTCTTAGAACTACATAAACAAGATGTATGTGTTGTTTGAAAGTTTTCTCACATCTCTTTCACCTACATGCCCTAATATTGATCATGCTGTTTGACTGTTTCAACTTACTCTGCATTAACAGATCTTTGATTTCATCACTTTGTCAGGATTCATGTACAAAATGTATTCATGATAAGATAATAGATGAACATTAGAAAGCATATTAAATAATACACAGCTGCTTGATGGTTTATTATATATCTGGGTATTCACTTTCTAAGCATTGATTTAGTTTTCCTTAAGAGAAAGAAAATGTTTAAAGATTCAGGTACAATGTAGCTATAGCAACCGAGTGGTTGATATAGAAATAAAAAATCTTCAGTTATTTAGTTATTGTAGCTACAATTTCATCCCCCCAAAAAAAACATGAAAAATTTTAAAGCTATAATAGATGAACATACATGTATCAAATTGAAAAAAAAAATGAAAATCTTTAAGAAAGCCAAAAATAACAAAAATAACCATAGTTTTGTTATTTTGCAGAAAGTAGCAAAATAACTTGTCAGAGTGTTTTGAATCTATGTATACTTCATAAAAATGCAAAAAAACTCGTTTTAACCCTGGTACCTCCATAAGTGTGAAAATCTCATGGCTGTTCACATATAAGGATGTTTTCTTGTACTCGACAAGTCAAGGGTTGATGTGATAGTGATCCATTCCATACAGATATTTTTAATTTAATTTTAAGCATTATGATAGTTGACAGTGTTGATTACAAGATCCAACCAAAAATTGTTAGAACTGGCTGTATTAAATATGTGTCTGTAAAAAGATACATTCAACCATAATAGATAAAATATGTTAATGTTAATTACCTTTTTCTTCATTTAAATACCACTATTTTTATCTGGAAAAGTGTTACTGTAATGCTCCTCTTTGTTCTGTTATATGGAAGAGTATATGAAATTAAGATCCAATTTAAAAGTTTAAAAGTGTTAAAATAGTATTTCCACCAGACCCATATGATACCAACCTCCTTTCAAATACCAACTTGGATGATGCACAATTTTATTTGACTGAATTATACTCATTATAAATGGTCACTCCTTGAAATAGAGAGGTGATAGACACCAAGGGGACATTCAAGTGTTCCAGGGGGGTATGCAGATCATTTAATTATCAGATTGTTGTTGCTGCAAAATAAATGGTTTGACATAAGGGAAAGAGATCAGAAAATAATGTCAAAAAAGGTTTTAAATTGGTAATCTTCCAGAAATACATTTGATATCAATATCATAATCAAACAAAAGCAACTAACACAAAATGAAGACATTGGACTTCTAAATGGAAATGTGTGAAAATACCTTCGTCTAGAGCTATGCTGGAGAATATCACAAATGCTGTTTTAATCTTAAATTATTTTCTTCTAGCAGAATCGGAAATACTTCCATTAAACAATAAGCAGGTATTTCATTTCAGCATATGTCATAATAATATCAGAAAGAGTAATTTGAAAAAAAGATATACTGACATTATGCTACCAATGTTAAAATCTCCAGCAAACGTCTTGATGTTTATTTTATTTGAATGCATGTTCAGTTGGGTGCTCTTGGTACAATTTGATAAAACATGAACATAACAGGGATTACCAAAAATGGTGGACAGTAAAACAGTCCTCAGCAACCAACAACACCCGACTCCTCTGAAAGAAAGAGGTACAAATACAGACATATACAAAAAGCAGATGGTCCAGATAACTTGATAATTACAACATGTGATGGGGTAAAACAATTTTTAGCTCTGCTTAAAACATTTAATTATGTAGAGTGAATTAGTTAATTTATAATTCAATATAAAAAAAAATGCAAACAAGACAACTGCCCACCAGAGACCACAGGACGAGGATGCGACAAGTCGAACTTTGTTAATTTAGACGGATCTTAAACGAGTTTGGCCATAAACTTATTCATAATAATACAAGAACAAGACTAATTTAAAAGGGTTGCATTTAATGCCTATAGGACTACCTACAATTTGTCGATAAACTGTATTACTGAAACTCACTTTTGGATAAGAGAGTTGGGAACAGCCATTCCCTATGGATGCAATGACAAAATTGATGGTGTAGGTATTTTCGTCTAGTCCCAGGTGTAGTACTGTCAATACATTACAATTATTTAACACTTCTGCTCGAGAAATAGAAGTCATGGTCACAGAAATTATACACTACCTGCTGTTCACACCGTGACAATTGATAGTCTGTTATCGTCTGTTCGAAAACCTTTAGGCATTCACCATATCAGAACTAAATTATACTCAATTCCATTATCTAAACTTTATTTACTATTTCAAGAGGCCCAACATACTTCCGTTATTGATTCTAATTCTGTTTTGTATAGATTAGTTGCAATAATCATGGACATTGCTAACCATAGAATATTCAAACCCGTAACAACTACTTCCAAAAATGAGGAAAAACGTTTTTTTTTTTTAAAGTAGAATTCGCCAATAAAGGTTTAGATGTTATCAATATTAGCAATATTTTCCACCAGAAATTTGTACAAAAAACTATACCTGATTACTTCAAAAATAAAGCTACACCTGTAATTTCATATACTTACATCAAGTCTATTGCATCCAAGATTTTCAACCAGAAGAGGGTTTCAGAGGCCTTTAACCTCAAAGATGTGAAATCCAAACCTCCGGATTGCTTATGTGCATCGTCAAAGTACAATTATAGTCCAGCTGGTCATGTTATTACTGGCGACCTTGGCATCGTTACCAATGAACAACTAAGAGTGTTGTTAGCCAAGGGACCAAAATATAGAATTCCCCAGCCCAACAACTGGAAAAAGAACTTCAGGTCACTGATGGATGCAGTTGAGGACTATGCTAGAAAATGGGTAAAGCGCGAACCAGACGAACCAGAACTGGACACTTTGTCTGAATGGATCAAAGCCATTCGATCATGCATTCAGAAACTACGATGTACTATGAGCAAAAGGGTTTCTAACTCATTCAAGAACCCGGAGGTTGTTGATGCTTTATCCTCTTTGCATGACAAATATGTCGTTGTTCCAGCAGATAAAGCCTCCAATAATATTGTCTTCGTATGTAAAAACCATTATTTGCAATGTCTCACAAAAGAGCATGCAATAAACAGCACAACTGGTAATCCTATATATTCTTTAACATCATTTACAAAGGATGAAATTTTACAAAATAAAAAATCTGTCCTTCTTTCATTTGGTATTAACACCAAAGAAAACGAAGACAATCTACCGTCATTATGCTGGATACCAAAACTTCACAAAACTCCGTATATCGAACGATACATAGCTGGATCATCAAGATGTTCGACTTAACATCTTTCTAATATGTTGACTACTATTCTTTCTACAGTAAAATATGGCCTTCAAAAATATTGTGATGAGATATATTCAACCATTGGTGTCAATCAGATGTGGATTCTCAAAAATTCTAAAGATCTACTGCTAAAACTTAGATCACAATCTCTGCAACTTTGCAGCAACATTAAGACATTGATTTTTCTACGCTTTACACTACTATTCCCCATGCTCAATTGAAAGATCGACTTCACCATCTCATTAAACAGAGCTTTTTCTATAAAAATGGGAATCGTAGATATAGATTTCTTGTTTTTGGTTATAATATTTCTTATTTTGTGAAGAACCACACTGATTCTATCAGAAAATACAGTGAAGATGATATTATCAAAATGCTGGATTTTTTAATCGACAATATATTTGTTGAGTTTGGAGTATGGATATTTCAACAGACAGTCGGTATATTCCAATTGGTACTAATTGTGCACCCCTTCTGGCCGACTTGTTTTTGTACTCGTATGAAGCAGAATTCATTCAGAACCTTCTAAAAGACAAAAAGAAAAAGCACCTTGCAAAATTCTTTAATTTTACTTTCAGATATATTGATGATGTCCTATCACTGAATAACCCATATTCATATATCCCAGTGAACTTGAAATTAAGGATACTACTGATACAAGAAGGACTGCTTCAAACCTTGATCTTTTCATCAATATTGACACAGATGGACGACTTTACACTAAAATCTATGACAAACGGGATGATTTCAACTTCAAATTATCAATTTCCCATTTCTCAGCAGTAACATACCCTCTTCCCGGTCGTATGATGTTTACATATCTCAATTGATACGTTATGCTCGTGCATGTTCACACTATACTGACTTCATATACAGGAGTGTGCTCCTTCCACAGAAACTGCTCCAACAGAGTAATGAGGAGGAAAGATTAAAAATTACACTCCGTAAATTTTATGGACAACATCACGAATTGGTTGATCTATACGATGTGTCTGTGTATAAACTAACTAATGACATTTTTACCACGTCTTAGATTGTGGTTTAACATCTATGTCGTCTGTCAGTTAAGTACCGAACGTGACCTATTCCCAAATATGACTGTTATACCGAGTGTGAATTTGCATAGCTATACGACGTGTATCGGTATATTGTACATCCAACATTCATGTATTTATTTTTGATGTTTCTGTTATGGTTTCGGTGGGATAATGTGTTATGTCTTGTCGTTTGTAGTCCAAATTATTATAAAATAGCCTTTCAATACCATCATTGTCATGAAAACTGTTTGGACTGGTATTGTGAAAATAATTGTATAAAGTTCGAGATTGCATGTTCGTTAGGTAAGTGCGTCACTGCTTGTGATGCCCTGTTGTGTCTGTCGTTGATGGAACATCTTAGTTTGTTATTCTGCGGTTTGCATGTTGTGTCGACTATTATATTATTTGTTTGTGCGTTTCTCTGTGATGAGTGTTCTTGGGTGTGTTTGTGCTGTAAGTCCAAGTCAGGAATATGGCAGTTGTTATCAAATAGTTCGTTTCTATGTATGTTGGTGTTTGTTTTTGTTGCACTTCAGTGTTCCTGTTGTTCTTTTGTTTTCCTCGGTTTTAGTTTGTAACCCAGATTTGTTTTCTCTCAATCGATTTATGATTTTTGAACACCGGTATACTTACTGTTGCCTTTATAGATATGGTGAAGGAGAAAAATAAGAACTTTAATTCTATTAACGGTACCAATTTTACAACGTCAGATGCGCATTTCTCCGGTGGTGTTTGGGGAAAACCTAAGACAAAAGTTTCTGAGCTGGTAGAACCAAAAAGGAAAAAAGCGTATAGCAAATTCGGACAAGGAATCAAAGTTATGTATGACGGAGGTCATTTCTTCATTTAAATAGTATTTTTGATTGAAGACGTAGTACATTTTCATCGGGTTGTGCACTTTGTCTTCAACCTTGGCTACTATTTTCATATAGTCCGTGCTAATCAAAACATTGCTGTATAAATATGTACAGGTCGTTCTTTATGTTTATTTGTGCATGATTCAAATTTTGATTTCACTAAGATGAAGTCATTGTGAAATACACATACTAAAAAGCTGTCAAAATGCATTTTTTAATCAATGCATCTATATAAAACTCGGAATTAGCTCTGTTACCACAAAAAAAAACTGCTGAATAAACAGATCCGTTTCTATTTATTTCAATATTAACATAAATTGATAAGAGCGACCCATTTAGATCACATGTTGACGTCATATTGTAAATAGTTGTCGAATATTTACTTCCTGCATAAAAGTTCAGAAAATGGCACAAGAATCTGCCACTAAATGTGATATATGTAAGGGATACATTGGAAAGGTGTTTTGCTATGGATGTCGCCATTTTTTGTGTCAAACATGTAATTCGTGGCATGAAAAATTCCCCGCAACAAAACTTCATACAGTCACAGATTCGCACAATGTCGATCGAACAACACTGATGCTCACATTTGTCTGTGAAGATCACAAACTCGAATTCTGTTATTTTTGTCAAAAGTGTAAATTTTTAATATGCGCTCAGTGTGTTACGTCTGTGCACAAAGGTCATTCAATTAGGGACATAACAGAAGTTGCTGCTGCAGCACGTGGAGATGTACAGAAACGTCTTGGGAAAATCAAAGAAAACATTAAGGCTTTATCAGATTTGATAGAAGCTTTCAAAACAAAGAAACAAACAATACTACAGAATGGTACCGATAACTTCATAAAGGAAGTTAATGAAATGTCTCAAGATATGATAAAAATAATAGAATCAGTCACCGAAAGTAATTTGACACATGCATCCGGCTTTCTTATTTTGGAGAAACAACAATTGTTGTATAATTTGGCAAAATTAGAAAAATCATTCAGTGAATATAATTCTATGCATGAAAGGCATAAGCTGATTTTGAAAGAGAAACATGATGTCACATTTTTTCTTAAACAGAAATCTCTTGCAAAAGAATTTGAGTTGCTTGATGATATCCATCTTCCTGAAGAACCAAAGGAGATAGGGCCTTTAAATAGAAATAGTTTTGTAGATTCAGTTATTGACCAAATTAGATGCAAGTATGGTGAATGGTATGTATATTTATTTCAAGATTATGTCCTAGATTATTATTATTTTAAAAGTTTCGAATCATTTTAGCTCTCAAAAGAGGATTCGGCTGTAGACCTGTGGGCCCAAAATACTTGTTAAGAATATTTTAGAAGTTTCATTGTGAAAAAGTAGGAAATTGATATTCGGTTTTTAAATCGGTAAGGAATTAATGATATATTCAAACCCTATTTTTTACCAAAGAATATAAACTGAAAGGAAGTATTTTAATATGAAGAAATATATACGGGTCAAATTTTAAAAAAAAACAAACTGAAACTGTTACCGTTAGACAATACAAACGAATACAGTATCGACGACTGTTCGAAGTGAATGAAAACTAGTTTACACAGCATACTTTTTCTCACTTTGAAATGTAAAAGCTATAGGGTAAAAAAAGGTAATGTGTTAATACGTTTTGCAAATAATGCCAGGTTCTAAGTATTGTGTTATTAAGCAATTGTATTATAATACTAGCTGTGGTGTGTGTATATATATATTTCATAAAATGTCATAATTTTTAACTTCCACATAGTTAAGGTTTGTGATTGAAATTATATGATAATATTAAACATACAATGTTATGACCAAAAAGACAAACAACAGGCAACAAAACATTACATCGAAACCTTTAGAATGAGCAACAATTGACCATTCTGTAACAGTAATGGATAGATTAAATCCATTTTAGTCCATTTAGTCTGTTTAGGCAATTGTTGCTTTGATTTTAATAAAATGTCCTTGTTTAAAAAGGAAAATGTGTTTCAAACCATTTTTAAACGATGTAAAATATAATTACAGTTCAGGTAATGAGAGAGATTACAAACACAGAGGTAGAAAAAAAGAAAGAGAAAGAAAAAAGGAAAGGTAATTGCTATATTGTCAATATGAAAAGTAAACTGTAGTTTTCCTTTTTTTTTCTTTTATTCAATGACTTTATTGATAAGTATTGCATTTAAGTCGAACAAAAACTGAAAACATATAGTTCCATTGATTACAAAGTGAGATGATTTCCTTTTCAAGAATGTCTAGATGGCTCATTTTGTAAAAAGGGAACCTTAGCCCGTTACCTAGACGACAAGGTAATTGTGTACCGGAAATATTTAGGAATAAAACGTTTATATGTGTTAATGTCAATTTGTAATGTCGAACATTCTTTAATCTCATATGAAACTATTGAAGCTATTAAAATGGTTATTGCTGCTAAATATTTACCCTCAAAATGGTGGTGTAATTGATAAATTTAATTTCTGCTTTAAATATTGTAAAAGAGAGGCGACAGACACCAAAGGGACATTCAAACTCATGAGTAAAAAATAAACTTGACAACGCCATGGCTAAAAAAGAAAATGACCAACAGACAAACAACAGTATACAAAACACAACATAGAAAACTAAATACTGAGCAACACGAACCCCACCAAATACTGGCGGCGATTTCAGGTGCTCGGGAATGGTAAGTAGATCCTGCTCCACACGTGGCACCCGTCGTGTTGCTCATGTTGGTACAAAACCGGTAGTAAGGCTAATTCGGTAGGTCACTTTCGGGGAAATGGGGACGGGATTGTAGTTACGACAATCGGAACATATCCGCTATCATCGGTGAATCGGATATTTCATAACGTTCAACCAACTCGTAATGGCGTCCGTAAAATTTACGAAGGGATGACATCAACTTCACCACCTGGAACTCTTGGTTTAATAGCTTCTTTGTGAGCAGCAACCGACTTTCAAGGAAATCATGATAGGAAATACAAGCACTGGAATATCGTATCAACTGGTAGATATATACTCCGTATGCAGGCTCTGCTGGAATGTTGCTATATAGAAATGGAAAGTTCACATTTGGGAAACTGAAATTATCCTTTTTGTCGTACAGTTTTGTTTTCAACCGGCCCTCATTATCAATTTCTAGATGTAAGTCAAGAGTACCTATACCATCAGTTTTGTCATTGCAACCATATGGTGTCGCAGTTCCAAATTGTCGAATTCAGTAATCTTCTTTTTGTCTACGAAGAGGTGATGCAAACTTGTGCATAGAAATGATTGAATGATCAGGCTGGTTAGAATGTTGGTAAAGAATGTTGCATGCATTGTTGTTGATGTCTATTCTATGGCCGCACATAAGTTTATTTAACCTTTCTTTCGTTTCACCGACATATACCAATCCTGAAAGCTTACACTGTAATCAGTAGACGACATTTGTTGATTTACAACTCAGATCATCGTAGCTTATGTTAAAATAAGACTTTTTAGTTTAATTGCTAATGAATTGAGCATCTGTTATTAAAATTTTACAAGTTTTGCAGTTTTTGGTTTTACATTTATTTCAAAATGAGACAGTGTTGTTCAGGGTCATTAAAATTCAAAATGTCTTGTAGAAAAACTGAAGACGGATGCGTTCGTAGATTATTGCTGTTGTTGTTAGTATGATGATCTGAATGTGTCATATTAGGGTTATTTGTCATGTCTGGTGATGAGAGGACACCGTGTCCATGGTGACGTCTGTTTTGGACTTTTTTATACTGGGCGAAGTCCGAGCCAGTATTCTTTTTGATCTTCGTAAATTCATGCATATTTTGCTACTGGGCGGATGATGTCCTCAGGGACAAAAGATTGAAAATTTGATGCAAACTTTTCTTTGTTAATATATGGACTATAGAAGACCAACTTTATGAGCTAGATTTATTGTGTGTCAACTTTTAAGGTAACATCCAACAGGAAGACGTGTGATAATACACAATTATATCATTCTCACGCTTGGTTTATAGTTAACTGCAAAAAAGAATGATAACACGTTAACTCTGTCTAAGAAGACAGACGATTTAATGCAGATTGAACGTAAGTGCAAGAGAAATAGTTTTCTTTGGTAACAGCTTATTTAACCTTCGTATTCATTAGATTAGATTTACCATGTAAATAAGTTTTTTGAAAATTTGATTTTATTTTGTAACTATTTTATTTTGTGATTCATATATTACTTTTCAGAGGTCGAAGTTACAGATCGATTTCTACTTGCGAAAGGGGATCATCTAAGTCCTCGTCAGACTTAAGAAGGTATGAAATCAAAAGCGTCAAGGGTTAACTCATTGAAACAAACTCATGTTGCTTTTTAAATATGTTCTCTAGTAAATGGGGTTCATATTGAAATTTCTGTCACAATTGAAAATATTTTGTATGTGCAGACCATGAAATTTACATATATCTATGGCAAAATTTATAGTGATTTGTATGTGTATTGCTGTCCTTTAATACTCTGTGGATAAAAGAGGGACGAAAGATACCAGAGGGACAGTCAAACTCATAGATCGAAAACAAACTGACAACGCCATGGCCAAAAATAAAAAGACAAACAGACAAATAATAGTACAGATGACACAACATAGAAAACTAAATACTAAGCAACACGAACCCCACCAAAAACTGCGGGTGATCTCAGGTGCTCCGGAAGGGTAAGCAGATCCTGCTCCACATGTGGCACCCGTCATGTTGCTTATGTTATTACAAATCTGATAAAATTCTGATTTCTTCAGATTATTTTTTGTTTAACTAAATACGAAATTCTTAAGGGTGTGGCTGCGCAAAGGGGAATTCTATATTTCAATCGAAGACCATATAAATGGGAACACGCTAATGTATATGAAAGTGAACTACAGTTTTAGAGAAGATCAATACTATAAGGTAGATTTATAATGTGCTATATCTCAAGGTAAGCACAGGAAGACATGATGCGATGATATCCAATAAAATTTTTCTCAGTGTTTGTTTAAAGTTTACTGCAAGGTAGATTGATAATATTTTAATTCTGTCTAAAAACATGTTTAAGGAAAATACAAATACCTTCTAATAAAAATTATCATTACACGTTATAAATTTTATGCGTCTGAAGCGCTTTTCTGGATTTATCTTCACCAGAAACGCTCAAAGCCAATTATTTGAAAGCCAAGAATGTATAATAACCTAAACACTTGAAAAGCTAGATGACAAAACAAACCTAAAATATAACCAAATTTATCTAAGGGCCTTTGCCTGAGGGAGTTGAAACCTTAGTTTTTGATAATTTCTAAATTTATCAACGGACAATTGTAAATAGATATGACCCATTTTATCAAACGATTTTTAATGGACATTGAACGTAATTACAAGAAACACAGTTTCTTTGGTAACAGTTTATTTAGATTTGTGTTTGTTAGATATGATCTGAAAATGTTTTTTAAAAAAATACAATTTTTTTGTAATGTTTTGTTTTAATATTAGACTTTTCAGAGGTCGAAGTTACAGATGGTATTCTGGTAGCGAAAGGAGTTCATTTAGGTCCATGTCAGACCGAAGCAGGTATATACCTGTTATCAAAATGACAAGTGTTACCTCATCGAGGGAAATTCATTTTGGTGCTTTTATTAATTTATCAACAATTGAAATAGGGTTCATTTTGAAATTTCTGTCTCAAATGTAGTAGACCTTGAATGAAACTAAAACTTTACATATATTTAAGGCTACATTTGTGATGATGAGATTAACTTCCCCTATTGCTGTCATAATTATTGTGGTGATAAAATTTCTTTAATGAAAAGAAACTCAACAGACTATTGATGTTGTCTTGAGACTTGGACGTCGTGTGTTTGATATTCGACTAAGTTGTTTTGGTTGAACAGGTATAATTGAGATGTCAGGAGTAAAGATGAAAACTAAGAGTGAAATATTTATTATTATTAGTCATGCATAGTAATACATTAAAAACTTATACATTATAAATCAAGCAATTGATGATATCCAATTATATTTTTCTCACTGTTGGTTAATAGTTTACTGCAAGGTAGATTGATAATAATTTAATTTTGTCTAAAAGACATGTTCAGGGAAAACGCAAACACCTTTTAAAGAGAATTATTATCTGCAACACGTTATAAATGTCATGTGTCCGAAGCACTTCTCTGAATTTACCTTTATTAGAAACGCTCAAAGCAGATTTTTGGAAAGCCAAGAATGTATAATAACCTAAACACTTGAAAAGTAAGATGACCCCCCAAAAAAAAACACCAAAATAACCAAATTTATCTATGGTCAACTTTGCTCGAGAGAGTTGAAACATTAGTGTCGTATAATTTCAAAATTTATTAACGAACAATTGTTAATAGGTATGATCCATTTTGTCAAACGATTGTTAATGGACATTGAACGTATTTACCAGATATACAGTTTCTTTGGTAACACTTTATTTAGTCCATGTATTTGTGAGATATGATCTGAAAATATTTTCTTTAAAATATCAATCAATTTTGTAATTGTTTTGTGCTTACTATCAAACTTTTCAGAGGTCGAAGTTACAGATGGGATTCTGGTAGCGAAAGGAGTTCATTTAGGTCCACGTCAGACCGAAGCAGGTATATATATACCTGTTATCAAAATGACAAGTGTAAACTCATTGAGGCAAATTCATGTTGATGCCTTAATTAATTTATCAACAATTGAAATGGAGTTCATTTTGAAATGTCTGTCTCAAATGTAGCAGACCTTGAAGGAAACTAAAACATATATTTAAGGCTAAATTTGTAATGATGAGATTAACTTCCCCTGTTACTGTCCTTAAAAATTGTGGTGATAAAATTTCTTTAATGAAAAGAAACTATGGATGTTATCTTGAGACTTGGACGTCGTGTGTATGATATTCAACTACGTTTTTTTTTGTTGAAATGTCAGGAGTAAGTATGTAAACTCAGAGTGAAATATTTATTATTTGATAATATTGCATTTCGTCATGCATAGTGATACATTAAAAGCCTATACATTATAAATCTAGCCATTGATGATAACCAATTATATTTTTCTCAGTGTTTGTTTAAAGTTTACTGCAAGATAAATTGATAATATTTTTTATTCTGTCTAAAAAAATGTTTAAGGAAAAAGCAAATACCTTTTAATGAGAACTATTATCAGCAACACCTTATAAATGTCATGCGTCCGAAGGGCTTCTCTGGATTTACCTTCATTAGAAACGCTCAAAGTCGATTTTTGGAAAGCCAAGAATGTATAATAACCTTAACACATGAAAAGCTAGATGACCCCCCAAAAAAACCCCCAAAATAACCAAATTTATCTATGGTCAACTTTGCTCGAGAAAGTTGAAACATAAGTTTCTTATAATTTCAATATTTGTTAACGGACAGTTGTAAATAGGTATGATCCATTTTGTCAAACGATTTTTAATGGACATTGAACGTAATTACAAGATATACAGTTTCTTTGGTAACACTTTATTTAGTCTTTGTATTGAATTTTTTTTTTTTAAATATCAATTTATTTTTAACTGTTTTATGCTTACTATCAAATTTTTCAGAGGTCGAAGTTACAGATGGGATTCTGGTAGCGAAAGGAGTTCATTTAGGTCCACGTCAGACCGAAGCAGGTATATATATAGATTCTACCACTGCATCGAGTGTGATACGATATTTATCCACTCGAGACAGTTAAATTTTCAAATTTAAAACGCGAGGCTCGTCGAGCGTTTTAAATATTTAAAATTTAACTGTCGAGAGTGGATAAATATCGTATTACACGAGATTTGGTGGTGGAATCTGTTTCTCTTATGATTTTCAAACAATACGCAGGCAAATTTATTCCTTCTTTTCGAATGATCTGCAAAAAGATGTGTTCTTTCTATGTGACGGCATGGTCGCCTTTTTTCATGCCGTCACAATAGGAGATTCAGAGGAAAGCAAGAAAATTCGACGTCATATTCGGATTTTAACCAACGAAGAACTGAGATCAAACAAACCACACGTTGATTAAATTTTTTTTATACAATGGGTGCAGAAAGGGATAAATTGACGAAGAATTAGAGAAATATATATATACCTGTTAACAAAACGACAAGTGTAAACTCATTGAGGCAAATTCATGTTGGTGCTTTTATTAATTTATCAACAATTGCAATGAAGTTCATTTTGAAATTTCTATCTCAATTGTAATAGACCATGAATGAAACTAAAAACTTCCCCTGTTGCTGTCCTTAAATATGGATGTTGTCTTGAGACTTGGACGTCGTGTGTTTGATATTCGACTAAGTTGGTTTGGTTGAGCATGTTTAATTTAAATGTCAGGAGCATACATGTCAACTAAGAGTGAAATATTTATTATTGGATAATATTGCATTTCGTTATCCAATTATATTTTTCTCTCTGTTGGTTTACAGTTTGATGCAAGGCAATTTGATAATATGTTTACACTGTCTAAAACATGTTCAGTGAGAATACAATTATCTTTCTATGAGAATTATAATCAAATGTTCCATTTTGTCAGACGATTTTAAATGCACATAATACGTAATTGCAATTTATTTATGAGAAAGAAGGACTGCAATCGCCACCACTAGTTTTACGGTTACCAATCTCGAATCACCAATACGAATTGGCTGACCGATGCGATGTGGCTGTGTCTCGACCCATTAGTGACATGTTACCGCGGTCTAATTTCTTTTAAATATCAGAATAGTCGTCTGACCTGTTATTGTTCCTGACTGTGTCCTATTCATTCTGAGTGTGGATCCTCATGGCAGGTTATGCATGCATAGCAGGAGAGACGCTCACTCTGTCGTCAAAAACAATCCGCTCCTTCTGGAGTTCATGCGTTTCTCTCATTTTTTGTTTTCAACCTAAATTTGTATCTTCTTAATCGATTAATGAGGTAGGAACACCGGTAAGCTAATGTGGCCTACATTGATCACCCCATCACAGTGAAAGAACACTTGGTTAATTTGGTACGTCCTAATAATATTCTTGATTGGCCTTTATGTGGCATGTCCATGCCTAAATATTTAAAAACCAATGGTGTTTTTAAATACATGTGGAGGTATACATCATAAAAAAGAACACTCAAATTCGTATAAGGTCAACTTTGCTTGAGGGAGTTGAAACCTTGAATTCTTGATAAAACCATTGATACAAAAAGCTAGTGAACACTGCATTCCATTTCGAATTTGTCAATGAAGTTCAGTTTGAGAACTGTAACGATAAAAGAGAAGATTTAATTTGTTTCCAAAGTGATTTTTCTTACGAACGATAAAATGATTTGATTGACCTGCGTCCCATATAACCTCTGATATGATCTTCATGTCCTAACAACAATTCTGCTCAGTTTTCTTCGATTGTGACTTTGCGATACGACTAATTGCCGATTAATTACTTGCAACACGAACAGGAACTGCCTATCCTTGACATGAAGTTGCTCGTGGAATTTTGTTGGGTTTGTATTGCTCAATATTGAGTGGTTTGTGTGTTTTGTGGATTTTGATTGCCCGTAGGAATATTTTTCTTCTTTTAAAACACCAGTTCAATGAAAATTCTTTTCAAGTTTTCTTGTTTTCATGTTTAATTAACCATTATATATGAAAGAATTACACTGAAATATTATATGCACTGAACTGAAATCAAACTTTTGAAAATACCAGATTCGTGATTGAAATTGTATGGTATTTTTTTGAGAGATCCAGGTTACAGATATGATTCTCGTTGTGTAAGGAGCCAATCTATGTCCTCACCACACTTCAGCAGGTATTACAATATAATCTGATGCCCTGAAAAGATGTCAGTATTTTGTTAGAAGCTAGGATAGTAAAGCTTTAATAAACCACTATTATTGTGAGGTTCATAAGATAATTTCTGCTCAAAGAACAAGAAGATATTCCACATGAAGTTAGGGATGGCAGTTTCGGGTCAAGCAGGTAATCCTCAACCATTTTCAGAAGGGGTCCTGCTAATGGGTGTGAATTTGAAACGTAATATGAGCTAGAATTGTAATGTGTTCGCAAGGGAAACAACTACCAGGAGGAAATGCCATGCAATCTAAATATGGTATTCTTTTGTGAATTTACGAGATTTTTTCTTAGTGCTACATACTACAGAATAGCAGTACATATCAGTTTAAAAGTCTTTATATTAAACCTGATCGATCATAAATTCAATGATCTGAAGATGAAAAGACGCACACATTGATAAAAGACTACATAAGCTGTTGAGTTCAAATTCACAAAAAACCCCAGTAATTTTATGGTCAGATCATTTAAGAAATGTAAAAAACATTTGTCGCTTGTAAATTTTCTTACCTTTATATGTATATTTCTGAGGAGAACCGCCTTTTAAAGCATATCAATTCAGCTTCCCAATAACAAACATATATTCCTTTGAAAATATATGGTATAACATAAACTTTTCCTGTATATGCATATGCATAAGTACAGTAGGGACCAATTAATTTCAACACCATCCAATTCGCTTATACATTATACATTATTAAGGACGTTTTATACCTGCATAATGTTTAGGTGCACTCTTTCGAAAAAAAATCAGTAAGCAGAGTCAATTTGATTCTGAAGTGGTGAATAATGTTTGTTTGCCTTGAGAATTAAACCCATTCGGTTGAATGAAAAATCACTAGAAATTTTTTTTTGGACTCTCTATTAAAAAAATCAATCCGACAAATCTGACCACTTTGTAACAGTTACGGCATGCAGACTTCTTATAAGGTCATTTTATTTATACAGTTCCAGTAGTGAAAGAGATTACAAATTAAAAGATACATATAGAGAAAAGGATAGGCATAAGGAAAGGTATTACTTTATTGTAAATATTGTCAGTTTAAAAAGTAAAGCATACTTTTATCTTTGCTTTGATATAATGGCAAAAGATACCAGACAAAGGGATATTCAAACTCATAAGTTAATAATAAACTTTTAACGCCATGGCAAGAAAGAAATTGACGAAAAGACAAACAGTCAACAAAACGAAACTTAGAAAAAAAAACCCAAAAAATGAGCAACATGAAATCCTTTCAAAGTGATCTCAGTGCAGGTGCATCCGACTCCACATGTGGCCCCCGTCTGGTTGCTTATTTGAATACACATTCGATGATTAGAAAAATATGACGGGCATGTGGTTACGACAATTTGAACATATCCGTCGTCATAATTTATGAAGGTCAACCAACTCCTGATGGCGAGTACATGCTAATGAATTAATTGATTAGTATGATGTAATTGTTGAGCAAATTACATGGGTTGAAGTCAAAACATTCTTTTTTTGCACACTACATTGTGCATGCTTCAAATGCAACATGAATCTGTAGCAATGAGTTTTCATATGTCTTTTTTATTCTCTGACATATTTTATGTAAATCTCTGAACAGCGTTTACTTTTTATAACTTACATTTCATCATCCCAATACTCATATATATCCTCTGTAACTGTTGATGAAATGTTCTCAAGCCCGTTGCAACATATTCTTACAGTTTGTTTTTATTTTGTGCTGTAACACTACTGTGCAAGGTTAGAGGTAGGGTTGGGCGCTCACCGAATGGTTCTCATTGTTTAAAGTAGTACCGTTGTCCATAATTGTTTGCACCGACTTCATTTGAACTTGGGTGTATAGTTGTCTCATTGTTATTCATACCACAACTACTTATTTTGATATCAAAATGATTATTTTCCGATTTTTAACAATGAGAAGTAAGATAAACAAGATTACTTCAATCAATTATTACAGTCCTGGAGGTAAGAGAGAAAACAGATACAGAGAAGATAGAGATAGAGATAGAAAGAGAGACAGAAGTAGAGAAAGGTAATTGATTTACTCTCTATTTTGTCAGTATGAATATTTGTTTGCCTTGAAATAACGATATACATGATAAATATGATGTACATTGTTGAGCAAAACTGGTGTTGTGAAGTCAAAATTATTACTAGTATTTCATACTAAAGACATTATTATATATCAAATGCAGAAAGTAAATCGTTTTTCTTTCATTGGTTACAAATATTGGGTTTCCTTTAACAAATCCCCATACAAAACTGAATATATATTTTGACCGTGTGCTTGAATAATTCTGTTAAAGCTTTGTTTAAGGTTATTTCTTCTAAATACTTAAAATAAGTGTGGTGTAAAACAAAATCGGATCAATGACGCATCTATTTTAAGTCTTGAAGTTGCATTTCTGTTATGCTTAAGCTAGCGTAATTTCAATTGATTGATTGATGATTCTTGGTTGCTTGACGCCCAGTGGCAAATATTCAATGCATATTCAGGACGAGAACAAATCACTCTAAATGTGGAAAACTATTTTTAAAAACTGATGAACCATCTCAAACATTTTCATTATAGATTATTTATTTTGGTATCTTAATATGAAATATAAAACAGAATATCTGTGCAAAGTGCAAGGAGACGACATGAACTGATAGCTAACATTAATGTAAAGGGTAGAGTAGATAATATTTCGACATTAAAAAAAAAAAAACAACGTGTTATTGTGTTCGAATGATGACAATGGTTTGTGATCAGCATTATGAGCTATCTCTGTGCTGTTCTATCTTACAAGGTAACAGCCATCACAAAGATCGAATTATACAATTCTAATTATAAGTTCACCAGTCTTTTTTCTCCATGTAAATCGTACTACTATGAGTGTCTTGTTAATGAATTAGGAATAAATGAGCACTCAGGTAATCCCACATATATAAACATTTCATTTGACAAGGATCAGATTTTAGCGAATCATAAGTCATTCATGGTTCAATGAACATTACATTGAACAGCAAATCTGATGACTTACCTTGTTTGTATACTTCACAAAATTCCGTACAAACAACGGTACATTACCGGCTCAACAGCATGTTTTACAAAGGTACTGTCCATTAGATTGACAAAAATTCTGGTCGTTGTGAAAGAGGGTCTTCAAAAATGCCATTAAACTGTTTACTCGCGTAGTGGTATTAATCATATGTGGATTCTAAAAATCTAAAGAACTTCTTGATAATTTTGAATCTCGATCTTTCTCTGAAATTAATTCTATCAAAACGTTTGATTTTTCAACCCTGTATACCACCATTTCCCATGTGAAATTGAAAAATCGTCTAACAGAGATAATCCACGATGCTTTTCAATATAAAATGGCAGCTAACGCTATGAATTTATGGCTTTGGGATACCATACGGCATATTTTATTAATAGTGGACAAAAGGTAAAACATGCTACACAGAGGAACAAGTGATCGGTATGCTGGAGTTTCTCATTGACAACATATTTGTTGAATTTGGAGGTAGACTTTTTCATTACATTGTCGGCATTCCTGTGGGAACAAACTGTGTGCCTCTACTTGCCTATCTCTTCTTATTTTCCTATGAGTTTGAGTTCCTTCAGACACTTGCCAAAAGCAAGAAAATCAAAGAAGCCTGATCATTTAATTTCACATTCAGATATATTGATGATGTTCTTTCCATTAACAATCCAAACTTGTCTGATTGGGTTCCATTAATATATCCTCCAGAACTAGAAATTAAAGAAACAACAGACACGGCTTCCCCGCCTTATTTTTAGCATTATACTTCGAATTTGACATAAGTGGTCATCTCAATACCAGAATCTATGACAAGCGATACGATTTTAATTTTGAAATTATAAATTGTCCCTACCTTAGCAGCAATGTACCAACTTCACCTGCATATGGGATATACATTTCCCAACTCATTTGCAGCTGCTACTTAGACTTTATAAAACGTCACCAGTGTCTGAGCAGAAAGTTGATGAGCTAATGTTATGTCAAAGAACGTCTCATCCTATTTCTAAAGTTCATTAGAAGATAACAAGACCTTGTTGATAAATATTCCGTATCAACTTCACAAATAATACATAATGGTCTTGAAGTATAGATTCTAGGTACTGACGTTGTTTATCACCCTAATAACGTGTTAAAGTTTCCCTTTTTGTCCTTGTATATTTCTAACCTTTACTGTTTATCCATTTTTTATTATATACTCGGTACTTATACATCCCGCCATTGTGCTATGGTCAATTTTGAGTTCTTGTCTTTCATTTTTGTTTATGTACTTTATCTTTATGCCATTTTGTGTTTCTTTGTTGAAATAACTCCTATCTCTTATTACAGTTCAAGAAGTAAGAAAGATTACAGATATAAAGATAGGAGATATGAGATAGATAGAGATAGAGACAGAGACAGAGACAGAGAAATAAACAGAGATAGGGACAGGTAAAAGTTGACCGTGGTCGGATTGGGCTATTTCATTTTAGGCTCCTTCTGGTCATATAGTTCTTCAAGAATTGAAGTGTTTATCCATCTATAGTTTTTAAAATATTTTTTCTATATCTAGCACAAAGGACAAACCCGTAGTAAAATCAATACAGATTTAAACCTCTGTGAAGTACTTCTTAAATATTGTAGTTATATGAATTTGAATTTTATTGGTAACCAAATCGGATTGATTTTGAAATGATAGTTAAGTTTAGTCTGATGATACGAACAAGTCGAGATTGTTGTAATAACTTAATGTAGAAATCATATTAAAAGTGATTGTTTATTATGGAATTTATTTGATCAGATATCTTATATGACGATTTATTTTCACATTCAGAACATGCATGTAGATGAAATGTACTTGGAGTGAACTCATGTTTATGAAAGTTAAACAATGAAAAGTCATCCAGGTGGCTTTAATTTATGATTACAGATTAAATTGTGGCAACAGTAGTTTACCAATGTTCTAATCTCGCAAATCGAGTAAGAAGAGAAAAATGAAAAAAAAAATAAATAAAAAGTAAAGGAATCGCATGAACTCCAAAAAGAGCGAGATCTGGTGCATTTACAGGGTAAGTGGCTCGTGTTATGCCTGCATCACCAACCGAGAGAGAGAGAGATAGAGAGAGAGAATATTGTTGTTAAGTATTTACTTAAAGGGATAAATTGAAAATTCAGTACAATATTGTGGTTCCATATAGTGGTAGACTTGAAACATTTATGGAAAGTGTATTGTAAATTTGTATTAAATCAGAAATAACAGAAGTAAAAGTTTTGTTATTGCAGGAGTCCATGTAGAAGAGTCACAGACAGTAAACGGTGATGTTCATTGTATCAACACTTATGGTCCTACATTCTGTCCATACTTTGTATTTTTTAAGGATGTAGAACTTGATAAGGATACAGATGGGGATAGAGTAAAGGACCGTGACTAAAATAGGGATAAGGATCGCTGTTAAAAAAGATAACTCAGTCAAAATAAGAAAATTTAATTTTATAAATAGTGTTAATGATGTAACGAAAATATTGTGTTTCAAAAAAAAATATCCTAATTTCATTTAAAAGATTGTAATTTTGGTAGATGTTGCTATATTTTGAGTTCTTATCGTAAAAATTAATAAAGACTAGAGAGATACTTAAACAGAACTGAATGATATCGGAAGAAAAGCAATGGTTAGTCTTTCAGATACAAAATAATTAATGTTGTGATATAAAATAATGATATGTTGCTTTGTAAAATTTTGTTTTAGTGTATCAAACTGTCTTCAACGTCTAATTATAGCAATGAATAAGATTTCAGATTTATGGATATGTGTTAAATTATTGTAAAATCTTTGATGTGTATTATTATGTTTATGATAAAGCTAAGCCTGAATGAACTTCTAAGTTTCCCTGTTCGGAATTCGGAGATGTGATGTGTGACTTACAACCAACCATCATCTTTGTCATAACTACATATTGATGAAATCATTAGTAATGGGTTCCTGTTAAGAATTAAACCTGAATACCATATTAATCAACCAGGTGGCAAATTAATTTGAACATAAATCAGTTGAGAAAAAGGAAAGGAAGGTTTGTAATCTTGTTATGTTCCAGAAATAGGTATAATTGGAATACCAGAATTAAATAAAGGTAATGTTTTTAACAAACCACAAAATGAGGAAACAGCGTTTTTAATGTGAACTTCTGAAAATATCTGCTCATATGGAGCTCCCTGACTTGCGGTGCTAATTTTATTACAAAACTTTTTTTTTCTCCTGGTAGAATCGGAATTACTTCATTAAAAAAGAAGCTTGTTGATCATTACAGCATGTGATATAATGATAATAATCGAAAGTGGATGCTCTTTTAGTTGAAACGAAATTATGCTAAAGTATGCTACCATTATAATATCATCAACAAACTTTTGGATGTTCATGATGATTTTTCAATTTATTTGAAATGCATGTTCAGTTTGATGTTGATGGTATATCTCGGATAAAACATAAAAGGGATAACATGGGACTACCAAAAATAGTGGACAGAAAATAACATAAGACCAACAAACGACTAACATTTTTTTCCAGAAAGAAAGAGCTACAAGTCCAGACATAAAAAAACAACACATGATTACAGACATACATAGGGATCTGCTTTAATCAGTTTTGTGTATTGTCTGACTTTTCAGCCCATATGTTGTAAAAACAGTTAAAAATCATGTACACAGCTATAGACAGAATGACCATTGACTTCAGCAAAAATATACAAGACAGCATATATTCTTGAAAACAGGAACAACATGTGGTTGCTACAAAAAAAAGCAATCTAAAGTAGTTACATTTTGGGATGAATGCGGTTTTTCAGTTTTAATCAACCATTTTCTACATCAGAAAATGTCTGCACCAAGTCAGGAATATGACATTTGTTATCCATTCGTTTGATGTGTTTGAGCTTTTGACCTTGCATTTGCTTAGGGACTTTCCGTTTAGAATTTTCCTCGGAGTTCAGTATTTTTGTTATTATACTTTTTTTCAAGATATACATATTCTATTTTAAATGTATTTACAACTTCTCTAGACAATGTCAATTTGAAATTAATAATATAACACAAACATATCTGTTGTTGACGACCATTTGTTGGTCGATAGATAATTAATGTCTCATTAACTCATATTATTCATTTATTCACTTAGAAGTATCGAAAGTGCTAACCAATGACTGGTTTATGAATGAATAAAATCAGATTAGTAGACAGGGATCAGGATTTTTTAAATTTAGTAAATATTTATAGTTTTTATTGGTGTGTTTCTTTCTATTCTTGTGAGTTTACTCCGATGTTTGTTGTCCTAAGTTGTATTCAAATAAGTGTTTTTAATTAACTGTGTTTTTTCAATAGATCTCAATGTAATAGGCGGCAACAATTCAACTGAACAGTGATATAACTGATAATCATTATTCAAAAGTCTTTGAATATATCCCAAAGTACATAATATTTGATATAGGATATCAATAACAAATAAAATAGGAATAGCGCCAACAAAACCGCTGATTACAAATGACCACATCAACCACCATCAACCGACTACTCCGAAAATACAGTTATACACACCAAAGACAAACAACAACGAATATCACACGGACCAGATAGCCTGTTTTAGCCTGTCATACCACATCTCCTTATTTTTATATTCATAATTACGATCATATGCAATAGACAATGAAAGAAAAAGAAAATCAGCATGATGTATCTTAATCGGAGTACTGTGTTCTTCAATCAAATATCTAATTTGAACATTATCAGAATATTTTTTTCATCTTTTGATGAAAGAAAATGACCACCATGGCTTAAGATAGAACAAAGGGGTCAACAAGCTCTATCAAAATCTACCTCATGTTTTGAGGTATTGCCCTTGAAATTATGATTTTAACTTTTGTGTCAGTTCTTGGCTTTTTTTTTCGAAATTTTAACAGTTAGGTTACAAGTGCAAATATCTAATATGAACATTATCAGATTATTGTGTTTTATCTTAATCTATTTTATTATTTGAATATCAAGGTTACATGTATGTTATAAAGGTTTGAAAATATATAGCTTGTTTCGACATGATTTTCCGTATCAGAGACATATAATGTCAGACTCTCTGGTCGTATCAAACATGATATAATTTACCATTTTCTTAAGAAGAAAGTCGTTTCGTTTTAGCTCACCTGGCCAAAAGGACCTTCTGAGCCTTTGCCATCATTTTGACTCTTTTGTCTTCCTAAATCTTATCCTCTGAAACTACTATTAGGATTGTTTTTTTTTTCATCTTTTGGATGTCTACTATGACGTTTGTGATGTTCAGATTGTTCAAACAATATGACCACCAAGGCTTAAAATAGAACAAAGGGTTCAACAAGCTCTATACAAAACTACCTCCTCTTTTAATTTATTTCCCCTGAAATTATGATTTTAACTTTTGTGTCAGTTCTTGGCTTTTTTTGTAGAAAACTTTTAGAGTTAGGTTAAAAGTGTAAATTGAAAAAAAAGAAAATCAAGATGGCAAATTATATCTACCAGAAAAATTCCAGAAAAGTTTGACCAATTTTCACAGTTTTTTGGCTGTTATCTTTAAAAAAATAAAACATGAGATACACATGTAGGTAAAACGGGTAAATCTGCTGTGGAGTAGTCCCTAAAATATTGGTTTTAACTGTTTTTTTTATGCATTTTATTTAAAGTTGAAATTGTACAAGAATCAAGAATACAAAAAAAAAATAATATGTGCAATTAAAGGTTCTCATTTACAAACTGGCACATTTCTTTTGATGAGCGAAACAGGCTCAGGCCAGTCTCTTATTTTACCAGTATAATAAAGATGTTAAATCCTTGAATAAAGTAATGAAGTCGGCGGATGTCCAAGTGGTTTTCTTAAGCTCTCTAATAAACCTTTCCAGAATAGTTCTGTCCCTACACCGGATTGGTACCTTAAGTAAGGCGTACTATCTAGTACTATACGTAACTGACTAGTCATGTGTTTTGAGTCAATGGTTTCTAGTATAACATCTTTTCCTTGTCGTCGGCGTGTCTATTGTACATTATCTACCTCCCACTGACACCATTCACTTTGTGCGAAATTGTTCTATACAATAACTTAAACTTTCCGAGACTTTTTAAAGGAAATTGTCAACATTTGATGTGATAAAATCACCTACTATGGAATTTCTATGGTGAATGCAGAGTTGCAATCCTTCTTCACTTCAAGCTTGTTCAAGAGACTGTTGTGAACCCATTTTCTATCGTTATCGCAGTACACAACTAAAGCGTGATATTCGTAATCCTCTTCACTTTCAAGAGGGATATATCCATGTTTCCGATTTTGATATACGCGAAGTAGATATATATAGTTCTTAATATTGCCCTGACACTTTACAGCAATGGAACAAACAACGAGGAACAATAGAACAACAATCCCCATGACAATTACCATGGTATATAAAGGATTCCATGGATTGCACATTTTTTCAGTTTATAATCTCTTAATAATACTCCATTCATATTCTTAGGATGTCTACACTTGTATCCATTGGGATACTCCTTTAAAATCGAATGATTCTTTTGTTTCCAGTTTATGAACCACATTTGGTCGCAAATACATGAAAAAGGATTACAAGCTAGATTTAAAGATTCTAATCTTGATTAAAGGTCCTCTAAGAAGCTGGTTTCATTGATGATAGATATATGGTTGTGTCTTAAACTCAGATGTTTCTAAGATGTCATATTACGAATATACGATAACTGTTGTTCTAATTATTTATTCCATTTTCATTCGAATGTAATTTCTAAAACAAATTTCATTTTTGTAAACACATTTGTAGGCAGATTTGGTATCTTAGTTGACGTGAGATACAATTTCTTTAACTTTCTCAGTGGCCTAAAAATGGCTCGGAAGGTTGTATGATCAGATTGCATATAGTTGTCCGTGAGGTTCAAGTTCATTAGTTTTGGACAAAAAGCAACAATTTTGTTTGCGTTGTATCTATCATTTTTATCAAAACGATATTTGATCCCTTTAAAGTCAAGGTCTCTAACGAAGAACTATTGAAAGCATTTTGTGTAATAGGTCTTAAAGGGTTACCGATGCTATGTAAATGTAACTTTTGTAGCGATGGTAAACATGCAAACACATTATCTTAAAGTTTGCCAATGTTCATCCAATTATAACGTTGAAAGTCTTGGTAACCAGCGGAATGATTTAGGTATAAGAAAACCAATATTGTTATAACTTAACGTTATAGTATCTAAGTGAGGAAAGTAACTAGTGACGTTTCTTCCACAAAATGTTGGAACTTTTGGAAGCAAATTTGAACTCATATCTAATTGAATTAATGAAGTTAATCTAGTTAAAGAAACATGACTAATTATGTTATTGGTAAGATATATTGCTAGTAATCTGGTCATGGTTTTTAATATCGTAAAGTTAACATATGAAAAGCTGTTACCTTTCAAAGATAAATACTTAATATTGCTAACATGATAATTGTTGAACATATCTCTGGGAAGGGATTTCCAAAAACCTTAAAATTCAAGCCCAAATCAAACATTTTCAACCTCGATAAACTCTGAAAAGACAATTTTAGGGAAGCAACATTCAAACGATGTTCAGATGATACAATAAGCGAATCAAGAAAAGTCAAATTAAGAAATGCATCTTTATCAATACTGAATAAAAGATTACCAGTAACGTTAATTCTCTCCAATTGAAGAAAAGTTAGATTAAACAATCTAAATTTGTCTATAACACTGATACTTGTATTCGTAAATGTAATTGAGCGAACGTATTTCGGAAGTCTTGGAATGTATTGTAAAGATCGCCCGGAACACACAGCTCTTCCTTTCGAATACTTTTGACAAAGACAAAAACGGCTTAATACATATTACTTGAGCAATGGAAGGATCGGCAAATGCAAACTCTATGGCAAGAAGACATGCAGTGCAGATAACACATCCTCTGCGAGAAATCATGACCTGCAGAAAAAACAATCGTTGGAATTAACAAGACTTTATGCATTTTAGGTCAATACAAAAACAAACAGAATGGTTTTATTGTTGAGTTCTAGTCGACGTATTGTGGCAGTACATTTGAAATATAATATTTTAAATAGTTACGAAATAATTGCTTCATGTCATGCTGTATGCTCATTTAACCCTAGGTAGGCATTACATTTGTCAATATCCTATATACTGAGCGTTAGAAAAATACTGGCAAATATAATGCCTTCCTATGTTAAAATGAGCATAAAATGAATCGAAAGAGTTATATTGATATTAATAGGAAAATTTGAGTATTCGTTCGAAGCTACCCGCAAGTCTTGTTTGAAATGAATGCAATTTGATTCGATTTGATTATAAAGGCAAAATTGCTTCAAGACAAATATTCCAAGATGAACAGTTCGTAAATGCGATGGAATTACATAAAGAGCAACTCTTAGTGAAATCTATATTTTAATCTTCGGCGTCGTTCGAACTTCACAACAGATATTTCAAATTCAATCAGTGTGACATCAAGCATGAGTTTCCCATGTTTTTTAAATGACTTTAGAACATGGCTTTGTTTACAAAGGGAAAGAATTATAGATAAAAAACGTTTGTTATCTCTCTATTATTATTCTCATCCTTCCTTGAATACTTGATTATATACTTTATTTCTTTTTAAAGGAAAATGACGGCATCGATAATATAATGTCGAAAAAGCGTCTGCGATTCCCCTCTATTACTGAACGTATTGGTGTTATAGATAGAAAGCTGATACAACATCATTGGATTCATTCTGAAATTCTTCAAAAAAGTGTAAATTGACGTATTCTCTAATTAAACGTTTTGAAAATTGATGTATAAAACATTCTATCTTCTACATCAAGAGCTTTCAAGACTGAATAAAAAGTTCAATACGTTTTGTGTTTTTACCAGATATAAATACACTACAATAAGATGAAAACAAGTATTCTCATGGTTACTGCGTCTCAACAATTTTAATATGCATTTAGTTAATATCTTATAACTGATAATTCTATGTAACTTATGATGCTGACCAACTGACCAACACACAATATAATCTGCTAAATAATATCAGATTCTATCATATTTTGTGAAGTCATAAAGAATATAGAACAAGCAATGTACAAAATTCTAAGGTTTATCAAAACAATCAATGTCCAACTTACTTACAGTACACATTAGTAGTAAATCAAATACATAATAAAATATTAAGATATGATTTCCTCTTTATCAGGAAAAGCATATTCAAAAGAAAAGGTCCAGGAGGTGAAATTCTCCATTTACTAGGGTGTCATTTGAAAGAAGTTGAACATGTTTTTAAACTGCATATGATGTAAAGGAGAAGGTTCAATTAATGGTCAAATTGACCCTAAATTCAGTTGTATTTCAAAGTTCCTCCTAATCACAAAAAATTTGAATATAGTCTAATTTTTTTAAATTGTTTACTCTAAACGCCTTGAAATGATAGTAAAAAGTACAAATTACGCGATATCTTGTCATTTTGACTCATACATGTTTTAAAATAACTAATATAGAGCTCTACCATTGCCCCCACAAATATATAAACAGGAAATTTTTTTTTTAAGGTAACTATCTGTTTGATGTCCAGACAAAAAAAAGATTACTAGCTACTAGGCTGATATAGTATAAAAACAAAAAATAGACATATTTTTTAAAAGATACTTACTCTATTCGAAGCATGTTATTTGAAAAAGGAGAAACGAAAAAATACCAAAGGGACATTCAAACTCATAAGTCGAAAACAAACTGACAACGTCATGGAAAACAACTCAAAAATACCCCAAAAACTGAGCAACATTAACTCCACCAAAACCCAGAATTTCAAGTGCTCCCGGGCTCCACATGTGGCACCCGTCTAGTTATTTATGTAAGTACAAACCCGATGTGAAGTCTAACTCGGTAGGTAACATTTGAGGAAAAGAGGACGCTAATGTGGTGACGACCATTTGAACACATCCGTCGTCCTCTGTATATCTTTTTGAATGAATGATTTCAACTTCACCACTTGGAATCTTTTCATGGGAGCAGCAACTCTCCATCAAGGAAATCATGATAGGAAATGCAAGCACTCGAATATCGCATCATCTGGGAGAAATATACCCCATCTGTAGGCGCTGCTGGAATGTTGCTACATAGACATGGTCACAATTGGGAAGCTGCAATCATCTCTTTTATCGTAAAGTTTTTTTATCAACCGACTGTCATTGTCAATTTCTGGATGCAAGTCAAGATATAAAGTATACTTAACTGTATCTGCTTTAAATTATGTAGTTAGAGGACATCATCTTTATAGCGGAAAGTGTAGTTAAAAAGGATAATGCAGGCTTCTTTTAATTCTTCATAAGAAGCTCCTTAATAAAGTCAGCCTCATCTGAGTAAAAGAGAGACAAAAGATACTAAATGAACATTCAAACTCATAAGTCAAAAATACCAAGTCTGCATGCATAGGAGTACAGTTGCTTCTCATGAGAATATCGATTGTTTGTTGAAAAAACGTAATAAATATGTTGTCAATCAAGATATCACACATCTTGATAATGTCTGTTTCACAGATTTTTTTGGTTTGAATCAGAGTGCCGTTTTACAAATTTCAATTTATCCCTTCCTGCATCAAAATACTTATATATCTATGTTTGCTATTCTTTTTCATGAAACAAAGCAGGACACATTATTTCAATTTGTCATTAAGTTTTGAATCGGGATTGTTTGTGTAAATGGTAGAAAAGTCAAATGTTTTAATACTGTTGTAAGAGGCAAGATGGCATGTTCTCTAACAAATCTTTGGAATATTTTAGTATCCATTTCTGATTCACGCGGTCCCCTAGAGTATGTAGGTAGTTTCTCAATAATTTTAAAGCTCGGCATTAATTGCTGGTAAAATTGCTGGTAAA